GCCGGCCCTGTCTCACGTAATACATGAAAAAATATGAAAAACCTCAGCATCAAAGACATAAAGCCTGGACAACTTGGCCTGGTCCTTAATTCAAGGCTCTGTCGGCAGGTTTTTTTATGATACAAAGTGGCAAACGAGCTGGTAGTTCACCTGATGTTAAGTGACAACCGTCGCTAAGAGACATTTGCAACACGCGTAGGGTTGCAGATGCGTTGCCACCTTTAAATAAAGTGGACCCCGGCTACATAACTCACCAGACGAAACGCAGAAGTGTCGTTTCGTCTGGTGAGTTATGAACTTCACGCCGGTCTTCTGTGAGGTCGTGGTACCCACCCGGACGGGCCTGCCCATTCGTCTTGAATATAAAAGAACAATTAACTTTAACATTCGTATTACATACAACTAAGAAAATAAATTTGAATGGTTCATCGTTCTATTATGTCTTGAGGCAGGATCAAAGCCCCTGGTCCACTTATCTTTTGATGTAAAAGTGAATGTATAGATAACAAAAAGCAGTGAACTATCTTCCTGCACCGTTCCACAATACCCGCTCACCAAACAAACTGGTTTAAAGCCAACATTACATTGTAAAGAGAATGCGGGTAGAAATAATATAATTAAAAGCAATATAAAATAAAACAAAGAATTAAAAAAAATGATTTGGCTAAACTTAACATTAGTTAACAGCAAGTACATTAAAACCTGCATTGGCAATTACCGACCTACAAATTACCTATTTTCATTTACGCGTTTGTAACCATTTTCGGTGGGATAGAACTAATAGTGATAGAGATGACCTTGTAGACGGGATTTCTTACTTACGAAAAAAAATTATTCAGTTTTCTCATGTTTTTGCTTTTAGTATGTAGACCATTAGGCTTCACCGAACACAACTTGTAGCTCGGGGGATCTAGGTATCCCACGAACGTGATAGGTGAGCTCAGATGGTCATGCGAGAAAATTTCACATTTACACAATTTAAGATGACAATTACCACTTCACATTTGAAACTAAGGACTCTCAGTGTGGGTTGGCGTTAGTCCATAATGTTTTTTTTAATGATTTATTATATGGTTATACTTAACTCATGTGTCGGCACTATGTTGTATGTATGCTGTACGGACTATGTTGTTTTTTATAACGCCCGGGCCATTTATCTCAAATTAAACTTGCGACTTCTTTTCGAACCATAGTATAGTAAAGCGAATGATTAATAACTTAAACTTAATAAAAGCTACGTATAAACATACCAAAACGCATAAAACTGAAATACCAAACACCCTCTCACTGGCCGCATTGCGAATTTAATGCCAAACAAGTTTGTTTTAACAAAAAAAACTAGGGAATTTCAAACTAGCTCTTCAAGTTATAAATAGCAATGTACACGTGAATAACCATCGTTTTAATAAATTGACAAACGCTTTATTTGACATACAAATAGAATCGGCCCTTGAAAATGAAATATATTTCTAAACAAAGATAAGTAACCCAAAAAAGGATAGAAGCGAAAACATTATTTAAGCCCTTGATTTTTTTATCTTTATAGGTGAGTTGAACCTAAATGGTAGTTTTTTCCTGTGTATGTAAATCCTTACTAACATTATAAAGGCGAAAGTTTGTATGTATGCATGTATGTTTGTTACTCTTTCACGCAAATACTACAGAATGGATTTTAATGAAACTTTACAATAATATAGCATATACATCAGAATAACACAGGCTATAATTTATATACATAATTTTATGTATATCTGTCTTTCTGTCGGAATGTAACGCCTTCAGCCTATTCTACGCAGACGTAGTCGCGGGCAGCAGCTAGTGTTTTTATATATTTGACGGATTCTTAAACGTAACTCGTAATCTATTATTATCGAAACATGCAACGCTTAAGCGTCCGCTTCCGCATTTAACGTGTGTTCAGGCGTTTTCGCCACACCCGTAACCTTCAAAGCGGCTCGTGTTTTACGCCAAAGAAAATGGTATCAAAATAAACACCTTACTAGAGAAAACTCGTCTGGTAGCTATGACCTTAGATCAACTTAACATTATTTAAAAGAGACCAACAGTTCTATGTTTTAATGCATAAATCATGTCATACACTTTTTGTTTCATTACTATGACATTTTACGGATGGCTATTAAACAAGCTACTAAGAGGTTCACTGATAATGATAGACGCATGTTATCTCTGACTGGGTTCCTTGTTGCTCATGGCGGCGGGGATTAGTAGCCATAGCTTGATCCCCCACGGAACCAAGAGATCGGCCTGAGGGTCGCTCCAAGTGGTTTCATTTTGCCCTCTCTGGATGCTAGGCGCGTGAAGGGAATAGATTAATGGTAATATAGGCAGAGCCACTCTCCCTCTGTTTGCAGAACACCAAGATCGAGTCGCGCGGGAGGAGTTTTGGTATTGCGTTTTGCGACTCTTCTTTCCCTCCGCAACTGCACCGCGGTTACACTGCTACTTCATCAAAATAGCGGTGGGGCCGCGGACCTTATTATCCTATTTGAGAGCGAACGATGAAGCAGGACGCTAAATATATGCAATCAAATTATCATAATTATCATTGAATGATACGAGTTATTCCAAACAGCAAATAAATAACAACTTGATGTAACTTTCTTGAAAACATTCGCTTATTTTCTAAATAAACTTCGTATCTTATTCAACGTATGCAAGTATCAATTGTTATTGCGATACTAACGCCCGGCTTCTGAAACACTGATCATCGTAGAAGTCTAGGTACTAACCAACTGTTAAATGGCTTTTCAAACGTTATTTGAGGTGCCAAAAGGATTCTTAAAATCTATGAATTCTTCCGATCATTAAGGTGATCGGTCTGATCAATTCAAAGAGTTTAACAACTCAAATAACATTTGAAAAGTCGTTTGACAGCTGATCAGTTGACTTCTACGATAATCAGTGTTTTAGAAGCCGGGCGTAAGTGTACCTAATACACTAAACTAAAAAAAAAAACAATAAGTAGAAACTACGGCGTCTCGTCTGTGGCTAACCATTGAAGAATTAAATATTTATTCTCAACTTTAAAACTCGTGTAATTTTGTAAAGTTCATTGACAGTGGCACTAACTCACACGACACTAATTCAAGTCATCCGCTTATTTGATACGAATGTCATGGTTCATGTATACAAACTTAATTAACCATTGTTGCAAAAGGCGTTAAAATAATTTTGATAATTATGAGAAAAACATACATCACTTACACTGTTCAGCTGGTACGAATGATTGAGAAATAACGCATAATACAGAAAATATCCCAACAGCTTTTCATACACAGAAAATTTAATTAATGCATTTTAAAATATAATGAATACATTTGCTCTTTCATGTTTGTCATTTGGGAGTCAGTTTTAAGCAAGCTATCGAAATCAAGGACGTTACAATAAAGGTCCAAAAGGGATTGCTACCCAATCCGATTCGTATTTCGAACTATTTCTATTAGATATGGTAGGAGTTTGAATATCCCCGTTTTCAATGTCCTCGAAAAAATGCACAGGGCCAATCTCATCAGCTTTCCTAATTAATTATTTAAATAAAGTCCGTAAAATAGAAAGGGACGCATCATAAACCAAGCTGCAGCAATTTCAAAGGAATAAACCTGAATGACGCAACAATGCCTTGAGCTTTGTAGTTTCTGATGCAACGTACACATGAAATTACACCTTGATTTGTTTATATTATGAGATATACAAATAAATAATAATACTTTAATGACTCTGAAAACTAGCTAGTAGCAATAGTAGCTAATTCAGTACTATCTGTTTTGCACACGTTGTTTTGACACGTTGATGACCCGCCTTTATTTTCGACCAATCAGCGTTCATTGTTTGCACACTCCTCCAATATATATATGAACTGCGTTCAATATGTGCCATAAGCGTTTGAAAACTCATTTCGTAACGTTCAGTAATTAAATGGGTGTTAGATTTAATGTTATAAAGTATTATAGATGGCTTCTATTTCTATTTAGCTTTAGTAATTTTGACAAAATTTAATTATTTTGTAAGAGTCGAAAATGTTCTTAAATAATCATAATATTTATATATCATTTAATTGATAAGTATTCCTATTTAATTTAATTTATTTATTTTTATCAAAATGTTACACTTAAAAACGGTTCCCGAAGATTATGTCAAGAAAGTTTCACAGTAAGTACTCTTTTATAATTAATATTTTATACTATAACTTTTACTTATACTATAATTTTATAATATTTTATACTAGAGCCGTGATAGCTCAGTGTCCGGGCGCTCGCCTTAATTCAATGTATACTCGAGCAACCTGAGTTCGATCCCCGGTGCCGGCACCAATGAAGTTTTTAACTTTAAGTGCTGAATTATCACGTGTCCGCGGTGAAGGAAAACATCGTGAGGAAACCTGATATTTTCGGAATAATAACAAAAAAAAATGTATTTCGAAAAAGTGTGAAGTCAGTGGGGCCGCGTCGTGGACTATGCCGTGATACCCTTTATATTTGCCCAGCATTGTATAGGCTGTTACTTTACTTTACTACTATAACTTACGAGAACAATTTTGTTTGTTATAATACTAACCCTTTAAACGTATCAAAAATTAACGTAATGTATATGATTGTATACATCCCTGAGAGCCCATACCCCTTCGCAATACTTCTCAAAATAATCGAGAGCACCGTTTTATTACACTGTAACACACATATCGTATTGACGAACTCAAATTATTGGTACCAATCATTTCCATCTACCAACATAATGAACTCTTTATATCATATACCTAAAAATAATGTGTTTAAACTTGTTTTTTATACAGTCACATTTACATGTGACATTTATAGTCTATTTGATACATTTACTAACATCAAGTGGATGGTACTATACTAAGAGAAGAGAAGACAGGTGTGAAACTTGATTATTTTTAACCGACTTCAAAAGGAGGAGGTTCTATGTTCGACTGTATGTATTTTTTTATTTTTTTATATATGTTCGATTTTTATTCATAGATGCGCACAAGTGGCGTTAAGCTGCAGCCGAGCGGCTCATCAAACAGCTCTTCGCGGCACCGTCAAACCAAGTCCACAGTTGGCAGCACTCTCGCCCAAGGTAACTTTTTTAAACCATAAACGAACACAGTTTAAAAATAAGCTTATCTTCTTTAGGGTTCCCAAAGGTTGAAACGGGACCCTATTACTAAGACTCCGCTGTCTGTCTGTATCTAGTGAACCGTGATAGTTATACAGTTAAAATTTTCACAAATGATGTATTTCTTTTGCCGCTATAACAACAAATACTAAAAACCAGAAGAGAATGTGGCAATTGTGAAGGCGGTTCACCTGATGTATGTGATAACCGCTGTACATGGTCGTTTGCAACACCCTTAGGGTTGCAGATGCGTTGCCACCTTTTAACAAAGTGGGCACCGGCGCCCTCACTCACTAGACGAAACGCAGAAGTATACATCCACTACACGCCATTCTTCTGTAAGGTATTACTACTTACCCGGACGGATCTGCCCATTCGTGCAACAGCGAAGACTGTTGCGTGGTCCTACCACAGTTGTAATTATTTTATGGTAGTTTTCCATCTTTACTCGAAAAACATATTACTTTTCCAAGCATCCGAAAAGTAATCAATACCTAACAGTGTATTTGATTGAGTCTTTTGTTACCCGGTGACCCAGTGTCTAAAGTGCAGACATGCCCCTCATAGATAAGTGGCATAGTTGCCTTCCCTTTTTGCCTTATCAGAAATATTAGAACAGGGCAAAGTGTACGTCTATTCGGTGTCGGGGGGCCTTGAATTGGCCAAGTTATTAATGATAAAATATAATTATATTTAATTAACTTTATGTTATATATACATGTACAACATGATATGGCTGTAGACATAACAATGTACAAATAAAAATAAACTACGAGTAAATGTGACTCCTTATGTCACAATTTATAATATTGCCACTAATTAGGTATGGTTTGTAAAACGTCCTTACAACACAAGTTAATGTAATCCTAAAGTAAAGGCAATGTTTTGCCTAAAACAAAAAAATTGGAAATTACGCATTTTACAGGGTTAATGAAACGCCGAATTACACTGACTTTATTTTAATAGGCGGACACACTCTGTGTCCAATACTCTACATCTCGCTTTTTGGAAGAAAAATAAATAGATATTTTTTTTTACTTCCTTGGATGAGGTTGCCCATTCGTGCAACAGCAGGAGCTACTACCTTGCCCTGCCACAGTATAGTTTTTTCCTAATGACGGAACGGAAAAGCTGACATTTTTTATGTGGAAAGTTGCCAAGCGAGCAGGCGGTACACCTGATGTTAAATGAATACCACCGCAAATGATCATCTGCAGCACCTGATGTCTTGCAGATGCGTTGACGACCTTCAAAAAAGTGGGCCCCGTTTACCTCACTCGTCAGACGAAACGCTAAAGTATAACAACTTCCACTTCACACCGGTCTTCCGTGAAGTCGAGGTCTCCAGATGGACCTGCCCATTCCTGCAACAGCAGAAGGTGACGCGGGGATGCTACCACAGTGCCGCAGAACAAATGCTATAATCAAGTTCCTAATCGTATCATCACAGCTGAGGGCATTCGTTGAGCGCAGCGCGTCCCTCTGTGAGCCTGAACATGTTCACATCTGCGACGGCTCCGAAGCTGAGGCGTCCACCCTTCTGCACCTGATGCAGCAGCAGGGCACTCTGCGCCCCCTGCCCAAATACGACAACTGGTGAGTCCATACCAACTATTAACCTGCGTTTGTACGTAACGTATCTTTGAGTCCATACTAACCATTTACCGTTTACCGTGCGTTTGTCCGTAACGCATCTTGAGGTCAGATTAACTTTACTTTCTCTGCCTTTATCCCATCTGGGTGAGGTCGGTGCAGTGCATGAAATATTTTGTTAACGAAATTTAATATTTTCTAATCTTGTCAAGTCTCCTTAGGAATAAAAACCGATATACGGGTCAGACTAATACTTGTCCCGTGAGCAGCGGCGGATTTGCCCTAAAGCCCAATAGGCCCGGGTCTAGGGCGGCCACTTATTAGGGGCGGCCAATCGTAATAAAAAATTCACTGGTGATAACAAGATACACGATGGGCTCTGAGAAAGGGACGGCTGGATCTTACTACATGGGCTGGGGCCTAGGGCGGCCAAGACTACAAATCCGCCACTGCCCATGAGAGAATCGAATACACGAGCCTCCTCCTCCACCTCCACCGAGTCGAACAGATTGGCACTAAAATCCAGTAAAAAAGTATTTATACTATTTCCTTTGTTTAACTGATAGTCGGGAACCACCCTCTAAAAGGATGGTCAAGTGGCTACTGACCGTTTACTCGTTTACCAAACCGGCTTATAAAATGCTATCCTCATCATCACTGAATTCTTTTTTTTTTCGCTCGTGCAGCTGGCTGGCCCGCACCGACCCGGCAGACGTGGCTCGAGTGGAGTCCCGCACCTTTATTTGTTCGGACAAGGAGCGCGATGTCGTACCTTCGGCGAGAGCTGGCCAGAAATCCGCCTTGGGGAATTACATTACGCCCGCAAACTACGAGAAGGCCATCTCTGAAAGATTCCCTGGATGCATGAGAGGTTAGATGTTCACGATCATGCCTTATCATCATACCTTATCCCACCTAGGTGTGTGGAAGTTGAACCCAACAACCCCAAAGAAGCCAAAATAGCATAGCAACTGTGTCCTTTATTAGATCTAAAACTTTTTGTTCGAATTTCTGACAAAATTAGAATATCATAAAGGGTCGTTACGATACACCAATGTGTAGCAGTAATGATTGACAACCTCATGACGAATGACGTGAACAATATATACATCTACAAGATGGATAATGGGTTTAAGATCTCCTAAAAACCTATAGATGCATGCCGTTGTGAAAGGCTCACCACTTGCCCCGTTTCCTATAAAAGGATAATACTTATAGTATTAATAGATAGTCTAAAACTAATAGTAGCACAACGATCTCCAAATATTTGACTTCTCCCATTGAGAAAATGATGCTTTAAAGACAACAAAAAGAGCATGAACGAAGCTTTTAATTTGAAACACAATGTGATATGAACTAAATGATTTCTTACACGACCCATAAATGCCACAACAAGTTTACATTTCAAAGATTTGCAGCAGCTTTGAAATATTAATAGTTACATTCTATTATAGTCCAAAGTTATAATATTAAAAAAAATCTACACAACGAACGCGTTTGACAAGGAAGTGTGCGGACTTTGTGTTTCATTGCAATCGCGTCACTGTCGTGCGTTCAACTTATAAAACGATCTTTATTGTATCAAAACCAGGAACTGATTGTTACGATTCGAATTAATTATGTCTATTTGAATCACGCGTGACGTCAAGAACAAAGAGAGTTTAATACATTAAGAAAGACAACTTTGCATATGTTACGTTATACAGAAAAATTATGTACGGTACCTATTCATTTAATAATTATGTGCGACGGTCTTAAAAGGAGAATGAATTACTAGAAGTTGTAGTAAAGCTGATCATTAGCTACCAATGCCGAATTGCATAAATATCACAAGCTAATATACAAGTATAATTTTTAACAAAAAAAACCGACTTCAATCAGAAAGTTTAAAACATTGTTAATACCTATAACATTCAATGATGGATTCCTCGATTTATCTGGGATGCCATCATCAAATCTGGGTTTGCTTACAACAAAAAAAGAATCATCTAAATCGGTTCATAAGGGACGAAGTTATCCGCGAACACACATAAAAAAATAAAAATATATAGAGTCGAATTAAGAAACCTCCTCCTTTTTTGAAGTCGGCTGAAAATAGAAATTCTCGTCTGCCTTGCTAAAACTTGGTTTTCTGTTTAACTGTAGAAACCACGACACGGCTGATATACCACAGAATGTAATCTATCAGATTCTGTATTATGTCAATAATAGTTTGTTGTTAACTAAACTTTTAGAACCTACTACCTACTGAATATGTATTTCTTTAGATTAAGAACTAATATAGAAGGCAGTGTCGTTACGGAACAAAAAGAGAATTTGTGCAGAGTAAATCAAGGAAACAAAGGCTTTTGTTCATCAATAATGCATTATGCCAATAATAATGCAATGCCAATCTGTCGTACAACTGGAAAAATAGATCATCATGGAAGAGTACCAAAAGAACAGCTGTCACATCAAGTAGGCATTTGTTGTTGCCTTTTTTTAAATCGCATTGCAGCGGAAAGTTTGAACTCTATAGGAATGTCGTAACGATGCTATGTTAGCATACGTTGTGATTATCATAACCAGTATGTCAAGTGAATTCAAGTTCATGTCATGAAATTATCCCGTATAAGATACTATCGCGTTGAAATCAATTTTAAATTCCTAACATTGGAACGCTAAACTTATTTCATAATATAAAAATAAAACTGGAATGAAATGAAAATGAAATTAAAAAAAAAATATGTTTACAATGTAAAGTTTTCGGGTAAATACATCTTTATAATCTTCAAAATGCGCTGAGTATTTAAAACATTTCTGTCTTACTTTGATACAACGGTAAATCTAAGGAGTTTTAGATTGTTTAGCCTTTTTTAAATCGACGTATACAAAGATATACGTCGATGTAAAAACGCCCTAAAACCTTGCACTGATTTCCCTTCCATTAATCTTATAAAAAAATTATCCGTTTCATTTAAATAACTTCGTACGTCTTATAGGTCTCTATTCCACATTGAGTTTTGAGTTTCGAATTCGTCGGCTACTGTTGGTCGAGCGATATTTAAAATGAACTATTTTCGTCAATAGCTTACTGAACAGATATCTATAAAACTTTCTACCATACATCATAAAATCATGTTAAAAAAACTATTAACAATATATAATCTAAGGAAAATAAAACTAATATATGAAATAAATTAAGAATATAAACAAATATTTATACAATAAATGCACGACGCCAACACTTACATTATTTATCCTTTTAAGGTCGCACAATGTACGTGATCCCATTCTCCATGGGTCCAGTGGGCTCACCGCTGTCTAAGATCGGCGTAGAAGTGACGGACTCCCCATACGTGGTATATTCTATGCGGGTCATGACGAGGATGGGTAAGTTTTATAGTCAAGAATCAGGTTTAAACGTACCTTCTAAGGAACCAATGAAAGACTTTTTAAATCTTTCTCTATAAACTATAATTTGACTGTCCTTTTTTTATGTTTATCATTTCGATATCCCCTTATCAAGATTCGCGTCTTTTATCCATGAACTTTGCGTGAAAACACAGTAATACTTCCTTATTTAAATAATTGTATAATATTCAAATACTTCCTTAATTTAATATTTAATTTGTGCCAATTTGCCTTTGAACTATTAAAAATGTTTATCAATACTGTGAAGTAATTAAATTGACCTTTGCATCTCTTAAACATCTTGGCGTTACTCCCGTAATCTATGTGACGTTGTTATGCGATAAAAAATTCCATATGTACGCATAAATATTTAATCGTCATACATACTTGCTATTTCTTGTCAATATTAAAAGGGATTAACCGCGATCATAAAAACCGACAATTGCACACGAAATATGTCCACGCAGTACGATGGCTTAGATTTTTTTATGAAACAAAATCGCACTAACGCTTCAGTTGCCATAAAATGTTAACGATAATTTAACTCAATAAGACAAAACTAAATAAATAATTCGAGACCAACGATGTTTTAATTAAGATTACGCATGTCCCTACTGCGCGGCGATCAAAATTGTTCCGCTTTGCAATAAATGACATATATATATGTGAATGGTACCGATGATATAGAGCTTATGATACGGAAAAAGCTAGCAGTGTAGTTACACCATTTGGCGCAATTTGAGTGCCTCAGCTTCGGTGCGCTACCTACCTCGTATTTGTATATAATATCATTGTCCGAGAAGTACACAACAATAATTATTTCTGCATATTTTCTCAATGGTAAGATTTAACAGACATATTAACCCAACATATAGGTACATGGCCATCCATTTTTTATCTCATTTTGTATAACAGGTACTCCGGTGTTGGATCTGTTGCGCAAGGATGAGGACTTCATCCGTTGCCTGCACTCTGTGGGCAATTCTGGTGGCATCCCTGGATGGCCGTGCGACCCGCCTAGAACCATCATTCTGCACAAGCCCAGTGAAAATGAGATCGTAAGTTACGGTGAGTGCTCTGCCAAGCTCCATTTTTTTATTTGAAGGATGCCAACTGAGCAATTCAGTGTTCGCTTTATGGTGGGTGCTAACCGCTTCTCATTTTTTTTTTATTTTATTAGTCTAAATATACAAAGATGTATTCTTACATTGCTATTCTCGCCAAACTTTTTCGTTTGATGGCGAGACACGCTCGTTTTTTAACATAATTTCTTCTAAACATACTACTATCGTGGACAATTACAACACCGGATATTTGGCGTGCGTATTGCCGAACACTGGGAGTACGGGCTTATTGTCTCACTCGGCGAAAGAACGCAAAAATAGAAATACTTTGAACTCCCGCCGTTATTTTGTCTTCATTCTGTGAGTCCGTGACCTTGGTCCAGCAGAGTCCAGCTGTCTTCTTGCACTATATTATTGTTGCTAATTCTATTGTAGATCTATCAACCTTTATTCGTGTTATTCCTCGATACTGCACTAGTGTCGAAATTCTATTATACATTATTAAACATTTTCTGTCATAGAACTCTTTTTCTTCTGAAAGTACTACTTCGCAATCTGGATAATTCAATTCGAGTAAAGAAAACACTTACCGTTGATGAGTGTTTTCTTGATTTGAGTGTTTTCTTGAGTGTTATTTTCTTGAAGCGTGAAATTTTGTAATTTGCAGTGCGTCATTTTAAATGCTATTATATATATTGTTGTAATTGCATCGTAGGAAGCGGTTACGGTGGGAACAGTCTGCTGGGAAAGAAATGCTTCGCGCTGCGTTTGGGCTCCGTGATCGCGCGTCGGGAAGGTTGGCTCGCCGAGCATATGCTGGTTAGTACCATTTTTCCGCAATTCAGAGCGCCATGGCAATGGAATGGAGACCTTCCATACAACCGTACAAGGAAATTGCTTCTAACTAAAAATACACTTGTATGCTTTTTTTATTTGGGCTTTGTTTATTGAGGGTACAAGAAACTATTAAAGTAAGACCAACTTAAAGTAGATTAGAACCAGAGTTAAAATTAAAGTAACAATATGTACTGGGGCTATTTTAACGTGGAAAGTCTGTTATGGATGCCTTGCTTTCCGGTTAGAGAAGGACCAAGTTATGTCGTACTTACACCGACTAAAACCGCAAGATAGTCGCCATCTGCCGCATTTGACCCCTCATCACGAGATCTCCATTCCGAAACACTACCGCGGCCTTCATTAGCCTTAATCCCACTCCCCCCGATAAAGGTCCGATAAGTCCGAAAAAAAAAAGTAAAAGTTAGTACGTACATCGATTGTGCGTGACCTTCTCCGTTCTTATTCCGCTAATCACGTTAATTCCAATACAACAATCCAATCACGAAATCCAATACAACTCACGAAAGTTTCAATAATTTTAACTTGACTTAAATAAAGTCCACCGTCCTAGATCGTTGGAGTCACAGACCCCAAAGGGCGCAAGCGTTACATCGCGGCGGCGTTCCCCTCCGCCTGCGGGAAGACCAACCTGGCGATGATGACGCCCTCTATGCCCGGCTACAAAGTGGAGTGCGTCGGCGACGACATCGCGTGGATGAAGTTCGACCGCAACGGGACTTTGAGGGCCATCAACCCCGAGAACGGTTTCTTCGGAGTCGCCCCCGGTAAGAAAACAGCCTATATGTCGCACTGCTGCGTAAATGCCTCCTCTGTACAGGTAATTAGGGCGTAGTCCACCACGCGACCCTACTGCGGATTGCAGCGGTTGCACTGAACTCTTTTCATCTATTATTGAAAAACTCACCTGAGACCTGCTTTGCTCATAATTTATTGTAATGATTTAATTCGATACATGATTTGAAAGCTTACTTAACTTTGGTGGACATGTATGAAATATCATTACAGTTAAATGTATAATACATGTGTAATACATTTCAGTAGTAGAAAGATTCGACGTCACAGAAAGGTTGAATAAAGAAATTAAAAAATTTGAAAAACCAGAATGCTCATAAAAGTACCTAATATTAAGACTGACTTCCTCATGAATCACTCCGTCTTCCTAATGAAAACCGTATGAATATCTACGTCTGCGTAGAACGTCTGCGTAGAATAGGCTGATGGCGTAACATTCAGACAGAAAGACAGATATATATATAGACAGACGTAGTCGCGGGCAGCAGCTAGTTTATTATAAAACGAGGTCCCCCGCCGCGCGTCTGCCTGTATATATATATAAATTATACCCTGTGTTATTCTGATGTATAAGCTATATTATTGTAGTTTCATTGAAATCCATTCAGTAGTATTGGCGTGAAAGAGTAAGAAACGTCCATACATACATACAATCTTTCGCCTTTATAATATAGATATAAATAAAAGATATAATATAAAAATAGTGATATATATCTATCTATAAATACAGGAACATCGGAGGCCACGAACCCTATAGCCATGTCCACCGTCTTCCGTGATACGGTCTTCACCAACGTGGCGGAGACCGCCGACGGCGGCGTGTGGTGGGAGGGGATGGGGGAGGCCCCGGAGAGGCTGATCGATTGGAAAGGCGAGCCGTGGGACCCCAGCAAGAAGACCCCCGCCGCCCATCCCAACTCTCGGTGAGTAGTGACGTAACACGCGGCCATTTTGAAAAATGGGTGGGGATGAGACTCCTCCGTGATGACCTGCTCAGCAGATATGAGCTCAAGGGTCTTCGAGTGTCAAACTTTTACAAGTTGAAACGTAAACATAAGTAAATGGCGGATCTTCCCCGTCTTACAGTAGTAAAGATCTTTTTATTCGATTAGGGTTGCAAATAGACCTATCACGGGCATAAAACAACATTTATGTGCACACAATGACTATAACATTGAAAAATATTGTTACCTGAAAAAGGAATAAGACTAAGTAACATTATAAAAAATAACACATACTTTGATTTTTGATTATCGAAATAAAATCCGTTCACATATCTGAGAAGTTGACAATCTAATTTAAAAATGTGATTAAATTCTATCGTAAGATTATGAATATTGCCCCCTTAAAAGCTACCAGTGTGTTTGACGCTCGCTATTTAATTCAATATACTCGAGCAACCTGAGTTCAATCCCCGATTTGACAAATGAAACTGTTTAAGAGCTGACTTATCACGTGCTCAGTAGTTAAGGTAAACATCGTGAGGAAACTAGAAAATTATCGAAGTAATCGCGTGGTGGACTATGCCCTACAATTATATTTCAAACATTTTGTAAAAGCTACACTAAGGGAAAGGGACTATTATAATATCGAAGAATACATTTAGGACAAGGATGTTTGGAAATTACTCTTGCTCTGCACTTGCTAGTCTGGCTGCTGCTAATTTTATACTTAAATAATTTTGTATATACGTAATCAAAAATAAAATAACATGACCGCAAAGTTTCTTGTCTGTTCTCTTGACAGTTCTAGTTTAGTGAACCAGTGGTAGTCTTTTGACAGCCAACAAAAGCTTAAAATAAGCCTATATTGAATGAAGAAATTTTGACTTTGAATACTCTGTGTACCGAGGAGGAATTTGCCCAGTTGTGGGACATGACGGTCGTAATAGCCGTCGCTTTACTCCACTAAATCCCGCGCAGCTTCTGCACGCCCGCCGACCAGTGTCCGATCATCGACGGCGACTGGGAGAGTGCGGAGGGCGTGCCCATCTCGGCCATACTGCTGGGCGGGCGGCGGCCCACTGGGGTGCCCCTGGTGGTAGAGGCCAGGGACTGGGCCCACGGGGTGTTCATGGGCGCCGCCATGCGCTCTGAGGCCACCGCCGCGGCGGAGCACAGCGTGAGTTGAGCCAACCAGTGCTGGTTTATTTTATACTAGTTGAGCCCGCGACTTCGGCCGCGTGGAATTATATGACATACATTAATGACAATAAATAAAATTTCTAAACTGAAAGTAGCCTAAGTTACTCCTCATTACATCAGCTACCAGTGAAAGTCCCGTCAAAATCGGTCCAGCCGTTATAGAGATCAGCCGGAACAAACAGACAGACAGACAAACAAAAATTGTAAAAAATGTTATTGTGGTAAATGTACCGTGTATACATCCATATCCATTTAGTAAACAGCGGTTATTTTATCCAATTTTATTTATCTGTATAGATGTATAGAATAGCGACCCGCTTCGGCTTCGCACAGGTGGAATGTATTATACATATAAACCTTCCCCTTGAATCACTATAGTAAAAAAACCGCATCAAGATCCGTTGCGTAGTTTTAAAGATCTAAGCATACGTACGACAACTTTGACTATGTAGTGACCCCGTGGCGCAGTTGTCGATGTATCGCTTCTTATGTTATGGCTTCGGCGTCTGAGTCGTGGCCGATTCACGCACGGGACAAGTGCTTGCGATCCACCTTCACTCACCACAATGCCATTGGCGATTTGTTTAAATAAGCAAGATAGCGAATTAGACTGAAAACCGTCATTATTCATAATGAGATATCCTTTATGGGTGCCATACACAGCTTCTTTAATAAAAAAAAAAGGTTTGCTGGCAGAGAACTCTGTTTAGGGTTAAGCTCGCCTTTGTATAGTCCTTTTTGTAATCCATTTTTAACCGTAATTTTCATTTGTAACTGTTATGTTTTTGTGTACAACAAAAAATAAGGATAAGACGTTCGCCGGTTCCTATAGCTGCTATGGTTGCAGGGCAAGGTGGTGATGCACGACCCGTTCGCCATGCGCCCCTTCTTCGGGTACAACTTCGGCGAGTACCTCCGCCACTGGCTCTCGATGCCACAGCCTGGCCGCAACATGCCCAAAATCTTCCACGTCAACTGGTTCCGCAAGGACGCGCAGGTGAATAGGCATTTGTTAGGTCACCGTCTTTTTTACACTCGTTCGACAGACATTGATGACTTTGTTGCTTTATAAACTATGGGACGAGCAAGGTTTGAATTAAGAACGCATTCGGCCGATAGACATTGATGTTTTTGTATCTTTATAAACTACGGGCCTACAAGCAAGGTTTAAATTAAAAACGCATTGATTGATTGATGAAACAAAAGCACAGGGACTTTTGTTTTTATTCCCACATAAAATTAGAACAAATTTTAAAGAACTGAATTAGCCAATCAGGATTCTATACCGTGAAGAATAACTGTTCCATTCCACCAGCCACACAACAGCTAGTTCATATTTATACAAAACATTTTTCAGGGTAAATTCCTTTGGCCCGGCTTTGGCGAGAACTCGCGCGTGCTGGATTGGATACTGCGTCGCTGTGACGGGGAATCCTGCCACGAAGAGACTCCCCTGGGCTACGTGCCGAAGGATGGAGCCCTAAACACCAGCAACCTCGGCGATATTAACATGAAAGAGCTTTTTAGCACCCCTAAGGACTTCTGGAATCAAGAGGTATGCTTCCATCGGATATGTATTAATGCATATTGCAAGAAATGATTCATTTAAAAATATTTTTTTGGGAAGCCTATAAGATCGTAACTCTATAGGCTTCACAAAGCGTAAAGACCATATTCAAATGTTGCTATATAACAATTTTCGATGCATAGCACGTGTAATTTAGAATATTTAATATTAAAATTTGTACAAAAATTGTATAAAAAAAGTGTTTTAATTTCAATATTAACTTAGTAGGTTAATATTGAAATTAAAACACTTTTTTTGCGATTTTCTGCGTATATTAAATTGAAAAGTATTTAGAATAGTGTTCAAATTAAAGATGACAGATCATTAAACAAAACCTTTTCATTGTTAAATTTTATCTACCTATATCGAAAATTTTTATCGACATAAATTTTTTTTCTATTTTTCTAGACTGACGCTATCGAGAAATACTTCCAACAGGAAGTCGGTGAGGACTTGCCGAACGAAATGTGGGACGAACTAAACAAACTTAGAGCTAACATTCAAAAATTATAAACCAACTTATCGATACCAAAGACGATTGAGTAAACACTAATAGCAAGCAGAAGCTAGCACATTCCATATTTTTGGACTTAAATATATGTAAGCCACAACCTCTGCAAAAATAATTCAGGTCAAAGTTTTTAAACAAATCGATTGAGAAGTCATAACGCTGTTAATGTAACTTCTTAGAAAAATATACCTACTATGGCTGTGTTAATTAAGAAATAGTGTAAGTAACTGTATTAAATATATTCGCGTATTATAAATTTGAATTTTATTTAAAAGCGACCCAATTTAATATAGTTTTCATATATGCGTTGTATGGAAAGACAATCCCTCCCCGCTTTTGTGACTATTAAATGTGTTTATCTTTGTTAAATATTGTTGGTGAAACTATTTTAAAAGATTTCAAGGTGTTCAATTTTAATTTAAACTGAGTACCTATGGTGACGAAACGGAAAGATTGTTTAAACTTAAATGAGATAAACACTAAACACAAACAATAAACCCGTTAAAATTTAATTTCAATAATTTGGAATTTTCATTAATACAAGTTTTTATGTTAATATAATCTAATCGGTCAGTATATTTTCTCCATAGTTGTCTGAATGAATAAAAATTATGTTGTTAGGCATGGCTAATGTTTCTAATTATATATTAGAAACATTAGCCATGCCTAACAACAAGAAGCTTCTCGAAATATCGCTTCGGGAAGTATCTACTAACAAAAACAATAATCATAAGTACCTACCTATTTGTCCATTGATAAAATGTGGAAATGAAATGCATCAAAAATGAAAAAATACAAATTTTTATTTCATATGCTTAGCCGAGAATACTCTAACACCATCTTGGGTTGAGGCGCGCGCGTATTTTGTCAACAATGCGTTGACGTTTAGTTTCTCTGTGGCATAGGACCTGAAAATTTAAGTATTAATGTATTATGTACAAGTATTAATGATGTAGCATAATGTAAATGGTAATATTTTATTTTATTAAAGGAGGGAATGAATTCATACTCTATGTATGGTGATATTTCATCTACGGTCCACTTTGGCTTTGTTTGGAACAAGATTTTGAATCTTTCGTTGATGTCATCTGGAAGATCACTTTCGGAAAAGCCCCAGACGACCTGAGGGGTGCTGCTTTTGTCCACGAGAGCTATACCCGAAAGTAGGGTTTCCTGCGGAAAAATAATGATAAACACGTTACGACGGGAAAAGACTTCAATTGTATATCACAACTCCATTGGATGACAAGTGACAACTGGCTTCATCTTAGCAAACACTAAGATATAATATAATAAAAATAATAAAATTAAAAAAAAAAATAAGATATAATATAATAACACTAATTATCTTACATTCGTTGTCATTCCTTCTGGAACAGAATCTCGCCAGGCTTGGAGGAACTCGGCGAAATTAAATTTACCCGCACTCTTCAATAAAACCCGAGCTAAAAACCTACAGACTTTATCTTGTTTGTATTGGTAGTACTGGATTCCGTCCTCTTTATGGATTTCCGTAGTGTAATATCTGAATAGAGACTCTAAAACAGGTCGAGGCACTAAGTCTTTTAAACTTTCAAAAGTGATTTCTTTTGATATCCTATTCAAAGGCCAAGAATTCTCTTCTATCAAGTCTAGCATGTACGAAAGAACCCTAAATTCATAATCAAATTCAAGCAAACGATAGTACCCGTCAATATTCACTGCTTGGATCTTGTCGAATTCTGTGTTCAGTTCTGCCTGAGACGCTTGCACTTGCTCAAATATTGCATCGTAATCAAGAAGCTTGTCTTTACTGACAGCATACTCCAGCTCTGGGCCCTGATAGGCGGTGGGTTCTAGAAGTTTCCGTAATTTCGATAAACGTGGTTTACAGGGCTTCAGTTCATAGTAGGTAAAAAATGTGTTGGCAATGTCTTTAAATTCTATCTTCCTAGGCTCCCTTGTTCCATCATCCGAATCGTTTGATTTATTTAAACTACTATTGGATTTATCAAAGGAATTATCCGACTCCCATTCCATTGAATTGTTGTTTGTCGTTTCATCTCCACCTGTCAATGCCGCGTACAATAAATTTGGCACTAACAAAAGACTGTTGGATGTTTCTGCTTCCTTAACATCGTAAGTTTTGTCTTCTGTACACAAAACAACGTTTTCGTCTGGATGCCCTAAAAATACATAGTTATTATATGAGATATAAGTGGGACCGGACAGACGTTACCGTATAGTTTTGATCTCGAAAACAGTGTGTGCTATCGGGTTTAAAAAATATCCTATTTGTAACTTGAAACCTACAACCCACATTGAAAAAAAAATTGTAATCGGTTGAAAGGAATAAAATATAATAAAAGCAATATTAAAGTGAAAGTTTCACCAAGTTCTACTGCATTTGGTTTCATGTGGTAAAGCCACTAAACAGCTTCCTTGCATAGCTCCACAACTTGTTGTACGAATGGGTAGACTCGTCCGGGTAAGTACCACGGCCTCACAGAAGATTAGAGTTAAGTGGAAGTATATTTTCGCGTTTCGTGTAGTGAATATAATGGTGGAGCTCAGGTTTTAAAAGCTGCCAACGCATCTGCAGACCTAGTGTTGTAGATGTCCATGAGTGGCGGACATCTTATAATCAAGTTAACTACCTTTAGACTTTCACATTAAAAAACCGGCGCCAACTCTCTAAAAGGATGGCTGAAATAAAAAGAGAGAGAGAACAAAAAATTTTAATTCTTAAAATTCAAATATCTTTATTCAATGTGGAAGTTTTAAACTTATTGATTGTCGAAATACTACAACCGTTTCGGAAAGAAAGCCACTGACGTGTGTAGAACCGGCGAATGAAACTCAGCTTTGCATTTTTTTTACTAATAGATGACAAAAAAATTATGTTCACAATATTTTAAATCCTTGATAGAGCCTGGGGTGATCGGTTCATTTCTAGAGTGTTATCATTTAAATAATCACTAATTTTACACACAAGCTTTTAACACACAAACGTTCCTTTACATTTTTTTAAAATTTGAACGTTTTGAGTCTTTGTCGTAAAATCGTCCCATAGAAGACTTAATTATTTAAAATCAATCATAATCCTATCTTATTTTGCTTAAAAGCAAAATAAGATAGATGCTTGCTGATGATGGCTTTGATTTGCTGATGATTGATGATTGCTTTTAAGTTTTAATTCTTGCTGATAATTGATGATTGCTTTTAAGCAAAATAAGATAGGATTATAATTGATTTTGAGTAAGCTCAAAATTCTATGTAGCATACCTTTAAACACCAAACTTTTCCCGTTTTCTATTTCTTGCAATAAATTATCATCCAGTTGCATCAATCTCAAATTGTCATTTCTAGTATTAGTTTCCGGAAACATTAAAACTTGTGTGATATCGGTTAACTCCGTTTCGTGCAATTTAGCTATTTTAATAACTTTTCTTACATCTTCAGAACTCCGTTGATTGCTGTAAGTAAATAATAATTTTAATTCGTATATGCATTTAATTCCTCAAATTCCATAAAATAAAAAAACAGTTGCAAAAGTTATTTCTGTATAATAAAATTAACAACATTACATGTTTTTATATATAATGTACTATCTTTTGCATAATCTACATAACTATTAAGTTTGACAGTTTCTTTTTCAAGTGACATATCATTCGATTTTTCAATTCTTGTAAATTATTCGAGGTTTCAGTCCTAGTATTTTAGTTTACACAGTACAGAATTTCTCTATAAGCAAAATGTCTATATTTGGGGACATATTACCCATTAACAAAAATGAAGAAAAGAAACAAGCTGGTGGCAATCTATCTCCTTATTTGAACTTCGATCCCCATTATATACCGAAAATGCAACCCGAATTCATTTATCCCGACGACAGTCATATGGCTTCGACTGCGAGGAGGTCTAATGTAGCACTTCCCATCATTGGGATGTCTTTCATGACTGGTTCAGGTTAGATTCATGTGATATATAACCTCAAACCAAAGATTTACATAACATTGAAACTATTGATTTATGGTTGATCTACCTTGATCCAAACACGTTAAAGAAATTCTAAACGCTACTTAAGAATTGGTAAAACATAACAAAAATATAATATTTTTTGACATAAAAAGAAACATGTTGAAATCCACACTAGAAAACAAAGAATTGATATAATTACATTACAATTACAAAGAATTGATTTTTAAAATCCCCGAACTGTGACTCAATGGAGCAGCTGACAAGATGTTCATTAATTTTAGTGTTTTAATAAACATTATACAAAACAACCATTTAAACAATGTAAATAAATTGCACACAATGTAAACATAAATAATTGTGACCATTAAAACAATGTGTACTAATACTATAAAGAGATCAACTCTATTAGTTCTAAATGGGTCATAATGGGAATCTACTTTAAAGTATTTTAGCAAAATATATATTCTATAAATCAATTAACTGAAAAATAAATAAGTAGTTTAATTATGGAACTATTTATTAATGTTGCAAGTCTAATCAATTGATATTTATTTTTTTTAGGTTTGGGTGGTATGGCTGGACTATATAAAGGTTTAAGAGCTACAACACTTGCAGGTCAAACAGGCAAAGTCAGAAGAACACAAGTGGTTAACTACATTATGAAACAAGGTAAGATTATGCTTTATGGCTATATTTAATAGAATAAAAATTTGTAAAACTTTAGCTATGGCCAACCCATAAAGTATTACTAAGACATTTATTATTACACAACAATGAAGTTGAGAGTTGTTCCTAACACAAGTTTCTCTGATGGAAAACTCAGCAACCAATTCTATCAAAGATAAAGATATAAATGAATTATTATTATTATTTTATTAAGTCCATATTTCAAATATTGACAGTGTGGACCAATGAGTCAGTAATAAATTACATGCTTTCTTCTAAATTACATGTAATCTTGGATAAATGGCAAAGTAAAGCAAGGAAAATATAAAGTTTCTTTATATTGTTAATTTAAGGCGCTGTATGCAGTAAAAATAGGTTTTTCAAAAGGTTTTTAGCAAAATCTACACATTTTATAGCAGCTAAAAAATATATGTTAATCTTGATCGTACATTTTTATATTCAGATAGTTCTAAGAATCTTAAAACAAATTCAATATACACTTTTAGATATTTTACTTTTGTACAACAAGGAACAAAATTTATTTCTTAAATTTTTTAATAAATATCAATAAAATTAAATTTAGACCTTATTCAGGATGCATATAACTTATTTAGCTTCAGATATGATAGGTGATTAGCCCTTAGACATATAATATGGGCTGTATTTTATTATCAAAAAAATGATGAGATCCCCACAATAAATGCAATAATAAAAATGTCTAAAAATCATTTGTTGTTAAATAAAAAAAGGCATTTTTATTAATAATCATTACATACAAAAATGGCACGGAGGCTTTATGTCTAACTTTTATATTTAAGTCACAATAATATTTTTTTGTTAATATTACTGAATCAAGAGTCAGAAAGAATTAAAAGATGATGAAATTTGTATCTTGATTTTTTTTGAAACAGCACCTTTCCTTTAAAAATTGTAATTGAATACTGTGAGAAAACCTACACATTTTATTTTTAAACTAAGAACAATTGAAATAGTCAATTGTAATCTTTCTACAACTAAAGTAATAATTGATCATTCTATTTATCTATTAATCCATATGAAGCTGCGGCAAGTCACTGGTATGATATTTGTACTACAATGCACCATATACAGGTATTGTTCAATTTTAATTTAGTATTTTCGGACTACCCAAGTTTTATTCCAGCCATCACAATGAAATTGTTATTGTGTGTGTATATCTATAAGTACTAGTGGATGTTCTGCTGGCTGTGTATTGACTGAAAATTAAATGTTTAAATTTGAGACGTTTTGGATGTCGGAAAATTGCTAAATTACATATGAGAGAAAAATTTGCAATTGGAGGGAACATAGCGCAAAATGTATTCATCGTGATTGACCGAACGATATAGTTGATATATTGTACCGCCCTCTAATGAAGTTATAGTAATGTTCCCCATGGCCATAAAAAAGTACATATAAATGCCAATTTTCAAACTGATCAAATGGTTAAGCAATCAATTTTTACCCACATTTTTGGTAATTTAAAAATAAATCATACTTACACGTGACTTATTAAATTCTTTTGTTCAGTATAAAAAAGTTCATAAACTTTAACATATTATTTCTTAGCATTCTTCATTTATCTATTATCTTATTGCAGGTACTACTACTGGTTGCACGTTGGGAATCATTGCCTCATTCTATTCATGTATTGCTCTCGGTGTAACGTGGTTACGCGACAAGGAAGACACAGCAAACACTTTTATAGCTGCTGCGACAACAGGTGTTATATACAAAAGCACTGCAGGGTTACGTTCTATTGGCCTTGGAGCTGCAGTTGGTTTAACTCTTGCAGGAGTCTACACATTGGTTACAGATAATGACAATATATGGAGCAAAGCCAAATATAACAGACTATGATTGTACCGCCTAAGGTAAAGGTGATAAAAAGACAATATGTTGACATGCTATAGATTGCAAATAAACATTGTGTAAGTAATCATGAGAAAAATTTACCATATGCAGAATTTAACATAGCTCAGATGTCTTATCACCTCCAGTTATGTAAATATAGATTTTAATTTTTTAGTTATATTAATGCAAATGGCACTGATGAAAAGATCTGTCTAGTGTGAAAGACTTACTCTTGCCATGTCTGAAGCACTTTTTTGACTGTGCCTACCTGCAGCATTGCTCTGTTGCTTGGTCATATTGTTCCTGATTTGGCACAGAAGCACAATTATCCATAAGCCTTGAAAATAAAACAATTTGTTTGAAAAACTAATATTTTTATTTATTTTCCCAAATCAGAATATACACAGAATGTAAAACAACATAATGAACTGACCAGTTCTACTACTTACTGTAAGCAGCACATCAATCAAAGTATCATCTTGATATAATGCAATGTTATTGAGCACAATGAAGTTTATGTTCACAACATTAAACCTAAAATTAGTTCCTAAAAACTTAAGTAATGAGTAAAAACCAAAATTAACTTAGTACTACTTAAAACTAGCATATTTTTAGCCATTTATATTAAATTTAAAAAGAAAGTTTCTTCAAACTTTCAGGGCAGCAATAGTTGCTTTATACAAAAATCAAAATAAGAAGTGTAATATAAACACATTAATGATTTGGCACTAATTTTTATAACAAAGTTTGAAGAAATGTTTATTGAAAATAAGAAGCTATATGGGATTTATTTTTCTATATGGTGCAAATAGGACACAGCAAATCATGGCAATAAAGATAAAACATGTCTAGTAACAGAGATAGCACATGTGATAACACCTGTTAATGATATAACATCCCAATATCATTTCATATTATGCAATCATATACATCAGTCGTTATCTAACTATATATACTAACACATTAAATGGATGGATTTTTATACATTTTGAAATAAGTGGATATGCAATTAGATTTTAACTTATTCAGATATAAAATAAAGAGTTAAACCATAGTCAACAATGTTTAAGAAAGTCTTTAAATGTGAATTTTGGGCAAATTTCTAATGAATTGTGAATCCAGCATTCAACATGCCTCTTGTAGAGTAGAGCTTGCACATTTAGCAAGTAAATTATAAAATAAGGTATTTTTATATGGATAGTGCTTCTGAACTATAACTTGGTATCTTAAAAATAATGCACATTTATGTTTATCAATAACTAGTTTGTTAAGTACAAACTAGTTATTAATAGACATAAATAATAACTATGTGATGTTTCCTGAGAATGTACCATTAATTTACTTTTAAAATATAATAAAGCAGTTATAACATAGTCAGTTTTGCTGTTATTGCCAACAAAGTCATTTTTATTATGCTAGCATTTGTACTTAGTAAGGAAAAACTTTAGGCAATTTAGTACATTTGTTATATGCTAAACCAATTATTGACATTTATGCTCACAATCAGTAAATTGCATTATATTTACAAGTGTTATTAAAACATGAAACTATACAAGACATTTGTATAACAAACATGTTGATAGATGTGAATTTATAATTTACTTTAAGAATAGATATTTGTGTAATGATGCATAGGCCTTGAAAATGCAAAAAATATATGTCACATTATTTATCAATAACATTAAATTGTGCCCAGTAAATTTAAAAAAAATAATCCAGCAGTTGGTCTTGAATTTACATCAAAATTTAAAAAGATTTAATATTATTTATAATACACAATTGCATGCTCAACAAATTCATTGATATTACTATTTCTTAAAAAAATAATTGCACTGCCATAACTTGGGCAATATATTATATACATATTATAGACCTATCAAATTCAAAATGGCTTTTGCAGTTTCCGCTGCAACCTCTCAACTCAGAGGCGCAGCATATTTTATGTCACGAGGCCGCATTCAAAATAGACTTCATGTCATCTGGCAATACACAGTTGAGATCATCAAGCCGTCTAGCAAGTAGGGTTCGAGTGTTACCAGCCACTGGAGGATCATTTTTCAAGACTTCCCTCAACTTCAACACCATATCCACAATCTCAACTTCTTTTTTACCTATTGACCACTTCTTGAGATCGCTTTCAGCTAAAGCCTCTAACTGCAAAGCATGGAGTTTATTTGTCAAATTACTATGTCTTTGGTGGAACCATGCACTAAAGTTTGGTGTTCTGAAGAAATGTCTATAAAGGCCAATCCAATCTCCTTTAATACCCGTAGTTAAATGCGGTCCAGCTTGCTGTAGCGTTGCAAAAAAATCCTCTGGATTGAATGGATTAGGTACAGGTGGTGCACGGAAAGGAGAAATATTTTTCTGCAACGGCATCAATGAAGCCATATAACGTTCCAATGGAATCATAAAACTCTGGGTCAGTTCTAATAAATGTCGCTTAACCATTGCAGTTTGCACTTCAGACGGTCTGTCTGTTCTCATACCATTATGAAGTTTTTTTATAATTGACTTGTCTTTCTCTAAATATGTTTTATACTGAGTGTATACTCCAGGCGCTGTATCCAATAACTTAATATTGCCAACTTTTCTTAGTTTTGTTTTCACTGAAGTTGTGTCACCAAGTTTGATAGTATGAGGCCAATGTTGCAATGTCTTAGTAAAGAATGGATTAGTCACCCCCAGTATTACACAAGGCGGGTTAAATTGTTTTCTTGTGAACTCTTTGAATTCACTGTCATGTATTGTAAAGTAGGGTCTGTATTCAGCCGAGTATGGCAATGGTTGAATCAAATATGTCAGTGATTGAACTAATGAAGAACACTCAGTAGGTGAACTTGCCATCACTACTATGGGTTCTGCAGTTAAAACCAACTCCCACAGCAAATGTAAATGAGATATTAAGCTAGAAAGTGCATCAAAAACGTTGACATCTTGGATAGAGACAAGTATATGAGGCACTCCTGTTGAATGGATTTGTTTCGCAATATCAGACCTTGTTACTTTTCCTGTCTGATGGTTAGGTATATAAGATTGGAAGACAGAACCTAGAAGAGGTAATAGAAAATTTTTCCCTGCTACTAAGGCAGGCCACCTATTAATATCATGACAAGCAGCTTCTAAGCTACTCTCACCATCATCAAAGTGTTTGGGAGCAATAAGCTGTATTACCTTGTAAAATAAATTAATAAACGGCAATCGAGTTAGTAATATAATGCTTTTCTGGAAGTATCCACGCGGTAGAGAAGGATCCTTGACCTGTCGAAAGTATACGAAGCCCCAGTAGTGTGTATGATCCGCACGCAAAGTAGGTACGCTTTCCCTATTGTAATTCAACTGCTGTTGCGTCAGAGGTGTACGTGAACGTAAGCGCACATGAAACTGAGTATCTCCCATACAACCGGAGTTTGAATCGGGGAATGCTAGATAACATATATTGCATTTTTCTTGATCTGACAAATTAACTCCGGGCGGATAAACATCTTCCATTGCCTGGCCTAACTCCAGATCAAATGTCACCACACAAATACAGTGCAACCATTCGGAAAACCTACTCCATTTCGATATAAATTCCCGTTCTTCTGGCAGTATGTCATTGTCTTCGTAATTTTCCCGTTCGCAAGCCATTTTTATATAATATAACTTTAGCACATTTCGATAAACTCTACCAATTCACTCAAAATGTCACAGTAACAACAATGTTTTATCATTGTTTATATTTAAAACACCGATTTTTTCAACGACTATAAAAACAAGGGAGAGGACGCAATAGCACATCCTACAACAGCTGTTCCTTCAACATGGCTGCGCGCGCCAATACGAATTATACGAAATTTGTAAAGTTTGGTGAAATTAAAACCGCTTTAAGTAAAAGCTTTAAGTTTAAAACTTACCAGTCTGCCATATTTTTTCAAATTAACATATCTCACAAATATATAAACGAGAAAATTTAAAACAAGTTATTTGGGAAATAATTATTTAAAGTTTAAAGCAACTCATATCAAACAACAACAACGTTCCGACTCACGAAATTTAATACATTCTTGTATGAAAATGATATTTTATTATTTGGTGTTTATCATTTAGTAGGAAGTAGTATTTATTTACATAATCATAAAACTACCTATAAAACGTTTTATTTCACTACCTTACCAAATTTATGAATGATTTTTGATGATTGGAACGGATACTTTAAACAAGTGTCAAGTAGTGATTAATTACTTCTAAAGAGTACTTTTATATATTACTTCTGAAAGAAGCGCCAGATGCGAGACGTTGTGTTATGGTAAGTAGTAGTATTTACCTAGTACAGCTTCTCTAAACCCCGTATCTTCCTCTAAATAAATAAAATAATCTTCCAGTAAAATTGTACAAACAGCAAAAGTTATCGAACTCACCAAATGGTTAAAATAAAAGGACATTCAATTTATTTTATAGATTTATGGTGAAAATTAATCATTCACCATCTTTTTATGTCGTAATTTCTTTTTTTTTTGTTATAAGTAGTATGAATTTCCAATGATAATAAACCAAACGCTATAGCCGAAACTACTTTGATGTCCACCATACTTACCTGTTCGAACTTGAGTATTCCACTTGACAGTTTAATTCAAAATGGTATTATTAAACAATAAATTAAAATTTATTATAGTTATATGAATAACACATCTTGATCAACATCATTTCAGCTTGTTTGAGTCCACTGCTGAACATTGGCCTCCCCCACAATTTGCCACGAAACACGATCCTAAGCCAACTGCACCTATCGACTTTCCGCACTGGCACAGGTCTTCACTCCATCTAGTGTGGGGTCATCCCACACTGTGATGGCCAATCCGAGGCTTTCACTCAAGAACCTTTCTTCCCCAACGATTATCCGTTATACGAGCTATATGGCCTCACTTCAGCTTACTAACCTGATCTATGTCGGTTACCTTTGTTCTACTGCGGATGTCTTCGTTGCGAACTCTATCACGCAGAGAAATACCGAGCATGGCCCGCTGAGCGACTTTGGGCTTTCTCATACGGCCACCAGAGAAGGACCACGTGTCAGTTCCATTTGTCATCTACTGGCAACCCATAATGGTTGAAGACTTTAGTCTTGACAGAAGATTTGCCAAAGTTTCCCGAACGCTGCGCATTCGAATTGGATATCCCGATTGACCTCTGCATCGAAATTAGACTTATCTTCCCGCCGGATAACACTTCACCCACAGCTAGTGTAACAACAAACACAATAATTCGCCCTTGCCTCCGAGCACGACGAGACCAACACAACGTGTACACAAGGTACACTCGCGTCCCAGGGCGATTTTCACCGCCCCTACCCACCTATTAGCTAAAAACACAGTCGACGGCCATTAGGTCAGAACCACAACCTCGATGAACCTTAGACTACATACCATAGTTAAAAGCACGCATGAGCACATGCGCGGCCCTACCCACAGCGGAGGGCCCAAACTCATGGGTTTTGGCTAGCCCACCGATTCTACATCAGATGAAGCTTTAATAGTCTCGGGACTGACAGCAAAAACATCAGTTAATACAAAATAGACCTATCTAGCTGGACTAACTGTCCTAGGTGTACGTACTTGTCAACAACTTCGATCACAGTGCTCCCAACAACAACCGGTATAGGCGTGACATGGACATTAGACAAGATCTTCGTCTTAAGGCCCACCCGTTGAGAGACACTGTTGATCCTTGTCCTTGAGCATAGTACTAAGGTCCTCCAGTGATTCTGCCATGATAACTATGTCGTCGGCAAATCGAAGGTGGGTGATATATTCGCCATTGATGTTTATACCACGTCCTTTCCAGCTTAGAAGCTTGTAAACATCTTCCAACGCAGCGGTGAAAAGTTTCGCCGATATGACATCACTCTGTCTTACACCCTTCTGCAGTTGGATAGGTTTTGTAGCCACACCTCAGCACCTCGATATACCGACAGTCATTTTGGCACCGCTGGAGGGCCTGGAATACCACCCAAATTTTGACAGAATCAAAGGCTTTCTAATAGTCCACATACGCAAGACAAAGGCAGATTATACTATTCGGTCTTCTGTATAACCTGCCACAGTGTATGTGATCAATGGTACTAAAGCCTTTTCGGAATCTAGCTTGTTTAGGAGTCTGCATTCGATTCTGGAAGCGAGTCAATTTAAGATGACTCTTGGAAACGGCACATAGACGCGGATGAGAAGGGATATCGGTCTATCCCTTCTCATCCGCGAAGGGATAGTTCATCAAGAGAGCGTTATTACCTTTCTTGAAGCACCGACACACTTCTACTCCACGCCGCTAGTGCAGCACCATTCTGAAGGACGGAATTAAAGAGCCAGTGAAGGACCTCAGGTGCCGGTTCTCCACCAGATTTCAGGAGCTCAGCTGAAGTTCCGTCCTCCCCTGCTGACCCATTCTTATCTCGCTCAGAGTGACGTCCGGGATATTCTCGGAGTAGTGTCGGATAAGCTTCGCTCTTGGGTCGTTACTCACATGTGAGTGTGGATCCAACGACGATGTGTACAGTTGTCCATAGAACCTCTCTATCTCACTCAAAACCTCTGATCTACTGGAGATAGCTCCGCCGTCGGTCTTCAACTTAGTCAGTTAGCTTTGTCAGATAGACAGATCTCTAGCGAAGACTTTTGAGCCTAAGTTCCTCTCTACAGCTCCCTCAATACGAGATGTTTCAATACATCTTGTATTTTCTTCCGTTGCGGAAGTCTCCTATGTAGGCGCCTGTAGTCTGACATGTCAGTTAGACTGTAGCCGCATCTCAAGTGTTTTTCCCAAAAGTTTGAGGGTGTGATCGGAGAGTTTTTGGGTTCTATTTGTTCGGCGGGCTTTATAAAATTTATGGCCCACGGCATGGACAGTTTTCACGACCTTAGAGCTAAGAATCTCCGGCTAGGATTCGGCTACCAACGAAGGTAAACCTAGCAAACATGTTTGTTACTATAACACTTCACTTATTTGTTACACCAAAATAATTGTTTCCTAGTTATTTGTCAAAAAAAATTAAATGTAAAATAAAAATCGTACACGTGATAAAGGTAAGATTCCAAATGACGAAGGACTACCTACAGGAGAATGCGTATAGACTAAACTGTGTAGATATACGATGTATAGTTTTTTTCTCTTTCTCTCTACGTTACAGCTTGTTTCCCTCCCAAATAATGAAATGTATGGAAACGTGACGCGTCCTTGAAATTCCATAATATACTGAGAATATTATGGAATGTCAAGGACGCGTCACATTTGGGTAGTGACTCAGCTATCGAAAAGCACTCTTTGCTCACTACCAATTATAGAATCGCCGCGTACTAACTTTATCTGTATATTAATTATACAATATTTTTTTGTCGGTAGATACACCATAACTTCCATAATTCTTAATAAAATTTGATAATTACCATTTTAAAGAATTTGTCAATAGAATGTACAATTTCGCATGGGTCAATTTTTTATATGAAATACCAAGAGGCAATTCAAAAAATTACAGGTGAGAAAATAAAATTATGCGCAGTTTCTATGGGCATTAATTATGTTTATTTATGAACGAAAATACAGACTGAATCGCAGGACTTGGTCGAGCCAATATAACTGACCACCCTCGATAACATTATATTACATTGTTATTTGCTAATAATTAAATCACGTTTATTGATCAACTTAATACACCAAACGTTAATTAATATTCGTGACGATAAATTATAAATCTATACACGCTAATATTTCTACGTAAATCAGTCACACATTTTATGTAGTGCTATGTTGACATTTGAAGGGATAGCTCTATTATGGAAATTCTAAGTTAATACTTTATTGATTTGGGTCCCCTCTTTTCACCCTAAAATAATTCATGGATATGATCGGTAATTGCGATTTACCTAAAAAATAAATATCTGTATGTTTTACGGCATGTTTATATATTCGTAAATTTTATTAATGACATGATGAAAGACGATAAGAGCTTCAAGTCGAGTGAGAATGTCTCGTTACGCGATTATTGTACATCTTATAACGTATCTAATTTATTGAAAGAAAAATTTAGAAATAAAATCTAATTGTATTTTAAATTCAGTTTGTTGAAGTATCAAGTAGTAAGTTCGTTAGGTAATATAAAAAGCGTATTAAATCTTTCAAACTGATTGAATAATACAAAAGAAATTTTTAAGGGCTACTGAAGAAAGATTTTTTCAGTTTTATTTGTCAAATGAAAATATTATATGTTACTTTTAAAATAAAATATAAGATCTTGATTAAAAAATGACGAGAGTTTTTTGTGCACAACTAAGACAATTTTGAATAAGTGGCATTGTATTAAAAAAAATTTATATGACATATCCATGTCTATAAAATAAAAAAAATAATACTTCATTGCAATTATTATTATAACACAAAACATATTTTTTTTAAATCCCGATTTACACGTTTTTGACTCAAGGGAGTCAGTCAGGCGACTCCTCTTCCTTCTAAATTTAAAATACATAATATTTTTGTAAAAAGAGAACAATAAGAATTGCACCAAGTTCAAAGGGCACCACTATGCGTTTTTAAATACAAAAAGTTGAAATTAGTGTCTGATTTTACAAAGATACACAGACATATATAGACAGCATAAAATCAATGTTATCCAAAATTAAAATTAAGGTGTCTATTAAACATAATTATCTATTAACAATGTTTTGCTATAACATATACCTATAAATTAAAAAAAATGTTTCTAATTAAGTGTGAAATTATACCTATGATGTGTAAAAAATATAGATAAAAAAATAAAATATACATTGCAGTACATATATGAAATTTAAATAAAGAGAATTTTTGCCATTTCAATTGGCCAGTGACAAATTCACAAAAATGTCTTGACTGTTTTATAGGTGACTAGTTGACAAGGCAAACGTTGTTTTGCCATATAAATTATTTGTAGGGTAGAAAAAAATGTTTGGGGTGGACCACCCTTAACATTTAGGGGGATGAAAAATAGATGTTGTCCGATTCTCCAACCTGGCCGATGTGCACACAAAATTTCGATCGAGCCCTTTTGGAGGAGTTTAATTACAAACACCGTGACACAAGAATTTTATATATTAGATATTGACATTTTGTGATTAAGGCACTGACTACGTGATACGACCCTACTATTATTGTCAATGGTATAATTAAATTTATTTGAAATTTAGAAACAATTAATAGTGTACATGGATATCACACTATAAATCATTTAATAAATTGGCATGATCATGGATTGATTTTTTAGGAACGAAATATTGTGAACACCATGACCATAATATGAACATGTCGTATTACTAAAAATGCACGAAATACAAACTTGTGAACAATATGAACAGAACACAATGAAATTGCAACTTATTGCCATGTTGAATTGCTAGCCACATTTGTGTTAGGCTGCCCAAATGCATTAGGAAAACTCTGGCCTAAGTTTAAGTTGCCAAACTGTTGGGATAGTGCTGGTTGAGGTTGCTGAACGGGTGCATTACTGAAGAATTGTTGATTGTTTTGTGGAAAAGAAGAGTGCGGAGCCTGCATGTTCTGTGGCGGCATCTGAGATCCAAATTGTTGAAATTGACTATTCATCGGTTGGAATTGATTGAAGTGCTGCATTCCATTTTGCATGGGCATATTATTGTACATTGGATTTTGGTAAGGTGTTGCAAAAGGGAATGCTTGAGGCTGCACCTGAGGAACTGTGCTAAATTGATTGACTAAATTTGTAGTTGGTGTTTGACTATACAACGCTAATATACTATCCTTAGTTAGCTTTGATTTTTCTTTTTCTGTTGGTGCAGGCTGTTTGAAGAAGTTCTCCTCCTCTACTTTCAAGTCAGGTTTGAGTTCTTCTTGTTTCGGTGTTTCCGACGGCTTCTCTTGGGGCGCGGAAAAGAAGCTGGAGAATATATCATCATTTGTGGTCTGTTTTGTGTCCGGTTTTCCAGTATCCAGGCCAAGAAGGTCTGCCGAGCCATTGGATATCTTGCCGGTGTCCATTTGGTTGCTTGTTGGTGTACTTCTACCTAATTTAGGACTGACAGACGATTTCGGTTTTGGTAAGCTCGGTATAACATCAGATTTCTGTAACAGAGTTGATATGATAGTTAACATCAATGTTTATTGTGGACCACTACAAAATGCAATAGGCAATCTTAATTAGTTGTCGCTGTAAATTTTATTTTACAAAAAATAATAAAAAATAAATAAAAATAATAATAAACAAAAAGAATAATAATGAACTACTTCATTAGCAAAGGTTCATTTTCATTCTAAAAGGTTAATTGACAGCGTCTAAGTTTCATGTAACATATTACTTTGAATATTTGAACTAATCTTAATTAAGTAAAGTAAAAAAGTTCTAAACAAAAAATAATCATTAATCTTACATTGTACTTTTTATCGCCAACTGTAGGCGCAGGCAGTGGACCTAATGTAGACGAGGCAGATTTCTTTTTCCTTTTTTGACGCTCGATTTCTTCATCTATCTCTTTGTCCCTGTAACGTCAATGTATGGCATGATATGTATTTTCTATAAGACAATAATTTTATTGCGTCAGATGGACTGGTTCTGAAGTTCAAGGAAGTCAACAGTCGAGATCAGAGTAGTCTCAAATGTGACGCGTTTGTCGCGTCTCGTGGGCGTTACTTATATGCTAAGAGCTATCAAGGAGCACAAACGTAAAGAAGCGCTGTTATAGACTACTCGATGGGCTTAGCGGGTAGTGAACCTGCATATTGCACATTGCCGAGGGTGTGGGTTCGATACCCACTACTGCAAAAATAATGTGTAATGAATATAAAGTTTTTCTAGTGTGTTCATATATATATTATATGGAATTTATTTATTTAAAAAAATAAATTTAAGTATGTTTATCAGTTATAGGTGTCATTACAATCGCGACAACAAATGAACACATATACAGCGTGTCGTTACCATGGCGACAACAAATGAACAAACGTCTAACGCTACTTGCCAATAATCAATTAACAAAATTATATTAAACATTTACATTTTTTAAACATCAATATCAAATTTTTTAAAACAAACAATTTTAGAACAGCTTACGTATAAAACTGTAACGTAAAGTTCATTTGTAAAGGTCACAAAGCATATGAACGGGTTGAACAAATTAAAAAGAGATAAAACATACTGTCAGAAGGAGAGGCTTGTAATGCGACGCTGTGGCAAACGTGTGTTGTAGTTGTATAGGATGTTACAAATTTGGTTTCTTTTTATGTAATTAGTTTGTTTGAAAAATATTTTTTTTAATTATGGATTTCTTTTAACGCTTATATTTTTTTCTGATTATTGGCAAGTAGCGTTAGACGTGTGTTCATTTATTGTCGCGGCCGTAACGACACGCTGTATATTACAAGCTTTGCTTAGTTTGTAAGTAGAGAATGTTGTGTTAAAATGTGTCCTATAATACAAACATCTATTTATCGACATGGAGTGGAGAAAGAGGCACGCACCAGTTGACTTTGGGCATCGCCGGCGGCACCCACTCCTTGGCGATGTACTTCTTCTGCTCGTACTTGGCGCGAATGAACGCCTCCAGCGAGTTGTCGTTCTGCGGCCGTCGGAACGAGTCCGGCAGGTTGGCCTCGTAAACGGCACGTGCCCGCGAATTGCCCATCTGCTGCAGGGACACCTAGAACAGCACATTGCACCATTCACGGTCGTCATCGCCTGTTCATAGTTTAAAGTTTTCAACACAGGTTCTCAATTAGTTTTTTTTTTTCTATTAGAACGAATCTAGTAAGAACTCGTCACAACAGGAGGCGTGGATTCGATCCCCACTACTGGAAAAATATTGTTTTATGAGCAATATGTTTTTCCACTATTTGGGTGTTTATATATTTATGATATGTATTTATTTACAAATAAAAGTGTGTTCAATATATTTAGCAGTCATTTAGTACAAGCGTTGTCCAGTTTTTGACTAGGGAGTTTTTTACGTTGCGTAAAAATGTGTCCTGGAATGTAAATGAAATATAATTATACTTGAGTTTTACCACTTGCTCTGGCGTCCACGAGTCGAGGTTGACGCTCTTCACCTTCGAGATGTGGACTCCGAGGTTGCGGTGGATGCCGGCGCAGCGGATGCAAAGGAAAATGCCCAAGTTCCAGGACGCCCATCTTGGACCTGAAAATTGGAATAAACAATTTACTCTTCTACGAAGGGACGTGTCTACCTTGTACTTTTGTTTTGGTCTGTAACAGTAGAGATGTCGCAATCACCGGATGATTTTGGAGGGTCAAATCTGGAAGAACGAGATCGCATCTCGTTCTTCTTCCGCCTTTATCCTACATGTGAATACATAATTATGAATGAAAACATTTGAATACATATAAGGGATGGTTTTTTTGATCCTTAATATAATGAGTTATTTACAGTCAAGTAAATAAGAGCAAAAACATTATGAAATATATACATAAACTGCAGGCGAAGGATGCGAGTGAGCCGACGAAAGCGAATTGGTAGCAAATTGCTTGAAAATGTCATATTTTTGTGGTAGTATAAACAGACAATACGAAGCTGCCACTAGAGGACCTTTCTTCCAAATAGTCGAAATACGTTTATATTATTTCTTAGAAGCGGTATCCCCGTTTTCCTTTTCCCGCCGATTTAGTGGAAAATCATAATTTGAACTTGCAACAAACTATGTATTTCGGCAATCAAACTCAAACTTGGTTCGTTTAATATTAAAAAATAATGAGCATTAAATAAAAGTGGTGCATACATCAAAGTAGTTTATAGTCGGTCCTTATTTGGTATACGGAAATTTATGGACCGGTGGTAGATTTTGACGTCAATAAGTGCTTGAAACAAGCCTTAATTTAATGGAATACTCGCTACGCATTCTATATATCTATATTGATAGATTGAACTAAACCAATTTTTAAAAAATATTTTTGCATTGGTTTCGGTTTAGCTCCCATGTCGTCGAATATTAGAAAGAAAGAAAGCCATAAAAATTACCATAAATTTATATATTATTAATTTACGGTACAAAAATAAACTTGTTTCAAACTTTAACCAGCCTTGAAACGGAACTAGTTTATATATAGTTTCAATCAACGAAAGGTTTGCAGTGTCATTTTCTCTTAAAAACACTTAATGAGTATTGTAAGTACATAAAGCCCCCGAAAATAGAACAAAGCAATTATTTTTTGTTTAGCCGAAATAAACTGCTGTCAACAACAGCAGTTTTTTCTCCGGACGGCCCGCACTTTCGAGCTGTACGGGCGGTTAAAGTCAGTATTTCTTGCATAATTTAGCCGCACGTAACGAATTTGTTAAATAATAACATAAACCGGCCGGCATAAGTGCGAGTCATACTCGCGCACGATGGGTTCCGTACCGTTATCTATAAAAACGGCAAAAATAATCATATCTGTTGTATCTCATCACCTTTCTAAGGGTCATTTTTCGTTTAAGGCATTGTTTTGGCGCTGAGCCAGGATCAAACCACCTTGCCGCGGGCTCTCGATTGTCGAACAAAATCCATTTGTCTTCGCACGTAATAATGCGGTTTAAAATTCCTTCATCTCTGTGCCTTTTGAGCAGCGCAAAGCAGGTCTCGATGCGTATGTTGCGCTTGCGATCGTTAAGTTCGTGGGGCTAGCTCTAGCTAGCTATAGGTCTAGCTTTATCAAGCTTTTTTACCTTGCCAATATGACCAATACTGTTTTGATGCTAACATCAAAAAATGCTCCTAGCTCGGCTGTAGATTGAGCATCATCAGCTTCCACAATCGCGTTTAATCCATCATTGTTGACCAGTGTCCGGACGACCACGAGGTTCATTTTTCAAGGCAACATTTCCAGAACGGAACCGAGCCAACCAATAACGGGCTGATGTTACGTGCCGTCGGTGCCACGACCTCATCACTACATAGTATAAAACAAAACCGTCCTGTTGTCTGTCTGTTATATGTATGCTAAAGATCCTTAAAACTGCGCAACGGATCTTGATGCGTTTAGTAGACCACGCAACAGTGGTCGCTGTTGCACGAATGGGCAAGTCCGTCCGGGTTAGAACCATGACCTCACAGAAGACCGGCGTAAAGTAGAAGTGTTGCACTTCTGCGTTTCGTCTGGTGAGTGAGGTAGCCGGGGCTCACATTATTAAGAGGTGGCTACGCATCTGCAACCCTACGGGGGTTGCAAATGTCCATGGGCGGCGGTTATCACTTATCATCAGGTGAAAAGCCAGCTCGTTTGCCATTTCCTCGCATAAAAAAAATCCATTATGACAAAAAATTATTTGCGTGGCGATGACAAATTAAATCTTTCCGGCCCAGAACTTAGCCACTTCGACTGCACAGCTTGTGGCGTCAATCAAATCCTGCTGCGAACAAGTGGATTGCAGTTGCACAGCTCCACACATAGAGTCCAGGTCTGGGTTTTCCGAGAGTCCCCACCTGAACATATTTTCCTTGCTCCGGCTGACCTCAGTCCGAAGTCTATTTAAAGACAAAATTGCCCAAGGCAATCTGTGCCCAGACGGAAGACTTCCAGAGAGCGTGACAAAGGGTTTCGGAAGCAGCATATTAGCATGCTACATGCTGTATCGTGCTTTCAGTCAACTTATTTTAAAAAACTTTTCCAAATTTTCAGTCTTTGCGGTGGAAGCTCGTGTCAATGTAGGGGTGCCGCATATCTTCGTCCGACTTAGCCCTCATCAGGTCCTCCTGTGTGCAGTTGGTTCGGCACACAGGGCACAATGTCAACACAATGGCAAAGCAAAGATTACTATTGATGGTACTTATGATTTTCTTACACAAATTGTATGCATCAAAATTATTATCTGTGAACCGGCTACTACTGTAAGAATATGGGTGAAAAATTTATAATTCATAGATTTAATTATTTCTAAAAATTGTTATATTAAAACTCAAAATAATGCTTTTAACAAAATATATGAAAGTGAAAGTTTTAAACTCAATTTATCATAAATGTTACTTCACCTTATCATACAAGTCAACAATTAATATTGTATTTTAATTGCCTTCAAAGATAAGGATAACAGGCTTTCAGATAGACATGACTGTGTAACATGTAACAATATTTTTTGTTTTTTATAGGTATTTTTTTAGATAATTAAAGTTACAGTAAGAAGTCTAATGAATACTATTTAATGTCTTATGTAATTTTTGAGTGTTTGAAATTGAATGATTTTTTTTTTATTTAAAAATGAATTGGCTAAGTGTTATTAAAACTTTTATTGAATGTAATCAATCAAAAATACAAAATTTTTACATCACAAAATAGTCAAGAGAAGGTTTTTTATCACATATATCAGACATATATGTAGTATAGACTCTGTACCCTCAAGCTACAGCCTTATCTAATATATATTGGTCTGCAATGTAGTGTCTAAAGAATATAAATCACATTTAACCATGAGCAATCCTAATAAAAATTTGAATATTTTGAACTGTTATACTAATACAATACCATAAGGTTGATTCTAATATTAAATCCTTGTAATTTACATAAAATTTTAAACATTGTGAAAGAGATAATAAAATGCAATAATTATTGTAATATTTCCGTTGCTTTAACAAGGACAGCATAAATTAGATGTTAGGCGATAGGTGGATTGATATTTTGGGTACATATGAGTCAATTTTATTTCATCTTTAATCCGTCAAAAGTTCAATAAACTACACGTAATTGTTAAAGTCTGAATCATGCAATAATATAGGTTGAGGTGTTCGTGTAAATGGCTAAGCATTAGCACTGGATTGCTAGGTCAGCCACTAAATAAAAATAAATGTAAAAAGAAAAATCAACTTACCCTTGGCGTCACAATCAACACAGTATTTGTTATCTTCATCCTTTAACATTTGCATCAATATGTTCTGACATCGATCTTGGATCTGTTTGGCTCTATCTTTTTCACTTTTAGATGTCATTTCAGTGAATTATTTAACCGTAATACGAAAATATGGGTGGATATGGTTTCTATAACTTTATTTGTTGAAGAAACTGACCATAAGTAAAAGTGACAGCCGATTACATGAGGTGTCAACGGTTGGTCTATGATCAATCTAAGCGAAGGTTTCTCAAATAGAAAATAATTCGCAACTTCATACAACAACATCTGACAATGAAAAAATATGAAATTAATAAACTAAATATGAGAATGTATTTAAGAATATAAAATTGATATTTATTATGAATAGTGTTTTACGATTTGTGTAAATTCATCACAGCCGCACCTACTGTTACTGTCACTTATCAGTGTCAGAGTGACATAATGACATTGTCTCATGTCTGTCGGTTGATGTGTCAAAATAATAAAAGTGCATCAGCATTACCTTGTTTTCCAAAATATTGTTACTTATTCCATTATAATTTTTTTTGTGGTTTGAGTCTTGCTTTTATTTCAATCATATGTAATACTCTTAACGTAATGTCTGAGCAATTTATTAATAATAATTGAAGTTGTTACTATTGTGTTAAAACTTAGAACGTAATACAATTTTTAGTATATAGAAAGACAATGGGTAATCAGCTGGTAGGAGTAGCTCCGTCTCAAATTTACCCAGTTGAACATTATCTAAGTGATCATGCCGATTTATCGTTCGATCAAAGGTAATTTTTACGTTTATGTTTACAATCACAAACCCTTAAAAGTTTGACATTTATTAAAACACTCGGAAAATTTGTATATAAATATTTCATTACATGTTTATATGCTTATAAAATACTCTATCATTACGAGTACCTAGATTGTTTCTTATCATCATTATATTCAATCCTTATTTAAATTTTTAATAAAATAAAAGATCTCTTTTATTTTAATAAAGAAGAATGTTTATAATAATGCATGATAAATATATATGACTCATAACTTTTAAATATAAAGTAACATATGATATCACTTCATATTCAGAGATAAAAGAATGAAGTAAAATATAAATATAGTAAAATAAAATGGTAAACATTGATATGATTATTAATTTAAACTTTATTCCTTTGCCTGCACATTTATTGACAAAAGTTATAGATGTATCTGTTGTTATTAAAAATCCAAAGGAACTCATAAGTAACAAATAAGTTTTGTATATGAAAGCCTGTGATAAATACTATTATGATAGTTAATAGAAATCGCAAATAAAATTTGTATGCAGTTGTTATTTAAATATTTTTTATTAAAATAGTTTAGTTAAATAAAAATTAGAAATTAAATTTTGTTTTGTGCAGTATAAGGAACTTGATATATGTAATTCTTTTCAGCCTTGGTTCAACAAGGTTTCTTAAGGTTGCAAGGGCTAGATCTAGGGAAGGATTGATTGTGGTCAAAGTATTTGCAGTACATGATCCGTCGCTACCACTGGCTGAACACAAAGAGAGAATATTGAAGATAAAGGAGCAATTGGCATCTGCCTTCAACTGTTTACCTTTCCAAAGAGTAATTGTAAGTACTTCTTTTTACTGTCAAACAACAGGTTCTGAAGTTGCATAAATGAATTGGCTCATCCAGGGAATCTAATACACCAATGTGACGTAGAAATATTATGCTTTTACTTTTTGTCTGGTCAGTGAGGTAACCTGGGTCCACTTTTGAAATGTCGGCAATAAACCTGTAACCCAGTAAATGCCCATACATTGAGGTAATCACTTATCATCATGCTAACCACCTGCTGTTTAATTAATAAGTAATTCCCTAATGTTTTTTAAATTTGTGTTTGTGTTTTCATGTATATTTAAAAACTGACCATTGCTTGCTTGATGAAAAGTCTGTTTTATCATGCCTTGATCACACAAATCTTCCTCGGATGGGAAAATTTTGATTAATGTTATGTCCGTATTAAATGCTACCTGTCAAAGTAACCAACCTGTACATTAAATACTTTCAATACAAAGTAATTCTTATGAAAACCATTTGATTTTTAAAGTCAAAGTCAATAATATGTGCACATATCCCTGAGGATATAAGTTCAAATCAGATAATTTTTCTGCAAATTTTTAATTTTTTTCCAAGTGCAGAAAATAGCACTATAAAAAATATTGTTTTCTTGTATTTACGCGATTACACATTATAAATGAAACTAATTTTCGTTTATGAACGCTGTAAAGGGTTCGAAACGTCGCGATAAATTAGATCGAAACGTCGCGTAAAATTAGTTTCATTTATAAAAAATAATGTTGTTTAAAAATGTAGCATGTTTAACTGTACATGATTTTAGTTGACAGACAAAGCCGGTCTATTAATGCGAGAGTACTGCAAATGCAGCGTCTACGATCGCATGTCGACGCGGCCGTTCCTCACGGTGCTGGAGAAGAAATGGATAACATTCCAAGTGCTGTATGCACTACATCGGATGCACAAGCTTGGTATCTGTCATGGTGATATTAAGGTATGTAACAACAACAACAACAATATTAGCCTATCGTCCACTGCTGATTGTAAAAAAACAAAGTGCGCCAAATATCTTTACTTGAGGTTTTTTTTTAAAACATGGCCCTTACTTTAGGATTACATTATCCTGTGTTGTAAGGATGTTTTACAGACATACATTTCACAAGGACAAACACCCAGATACGAAACAACTATCGGTGGGTCGCACAAATAGTTGTCTCGCGTGGGAATCGAACCCACGACCCTCGGCGCCGATTCCTATACCTCGGCAACTGCGCCACAGAGCCATCGGACGTGCACTATCCACAGTTAGAAAACATAATGGTGACGTCATGGCTGTGGGTGCTCCTGACCGACATCGCGTCGTTTAAACCCACCTTCCTGCCTGACGACAACCCGGCTGACTTCAGCTACTTCTTCGACACTTCACGCCGGAGGCTGTGCTACGTCGCACCGGAGAGATTCGTCCGAGCGCCGGACCCCAGTTACAGGCCATCCGTGAGCATTGTCTTGCACTCCGTTTACTTATTTTACTTTAGTGCCCATATCACATCACTACATAGTGTAAAACAAAATCGTCCAGCTGCCTGTCTGTCCCTATGTATGCCTAGATCTTTAAAACTACGCAACGCATTTTGGTGCGGTTTTCTTTAACGAATAGAGTGATTCTATGTATAATTCATACATAATATAGTGGATAAACACTGATAATTTTAGAGGTTTCTAACGCGATGTCGAAAACAAATAATAAGCATTGCACCCGTTTGAAGGCGGGGCGGGTTTCATCCAAACACGTCCAGCCGTTGTGCTCGAAATGGGGTGACTGTTGCATTGAGTGGGTAGCAATCGAGCGGACGGTTCTGACGTTAAATTACCCTCACCCATGGATATGAACAGCACCTGTGGGGTAACAAATGGGTTGGCAATCAAAATTAGTGTCGGTCTTCTGTGGGTTACCCGAAAGAGTGACGATTCGTGTAATAGAAGAAGCTGCAACGTGGATCTATCATATTTATCATTTTATGTTATACAAATATAAAACGATATTTATATGTGAATTCTCTTTAATAAGACGTTGTTTCCCCAGGGTGACCAAACTGGCGGGCTGTTACTGAGCGAATCGCCTTGCAAAGTGGGAGAGTTGGTCCCGAGCATGGACATTTTTTCCGCTGGGTAAGTAAAAGCTCTGAACAAATTGAAATTCGCCAGTTGCTAAGATACACACCACTAACTGGTGACGGTGTAATTTATTATGTAAGTAAAAAAGTGAACTAAACTAAGCAACTGTGCAAAGGCCACCTCTGTACAGAGGATTGGGAGAGTTCATATACCTTCGTTATAATTTTTTTTATTTAGAAAATATAGAGGTTTCCTCTCGATTTGGTTCTTTACTTTCCAAACATGTAAATAATGTATATAATATATGTTCACCAGGTGCCAGTTTTCATAACAATATTAACAAATTATTGACATTAAATTTAAATGGGAATAGTAATATTGTACTACTTCATGGGGATAGTTCATCTGTAAGGAAACAGGAAATTGTTAATAATATGGGAATATTACTCAACTTACATTATAAAACTAAGTGCAAATTTATATTATGCTCATTTCCATATTCCTCTTTCCTTTCAGAGGAACAAAATAAATACATATATAGTCTTAACATGACTATATATAACATAACTCACCGTCATAGTGACGCTTTCTTTTATTTTGACTTAAATAATTTTATTAAATCTAGTTTTAAGGTGACAAAAAATACTTTGTATTTGCCACTATATTGTAAGAAACTAATTGCTACTCTAGTAGCATATAATATACAAAACCCAGTTGTACATAGTACAACTAAGAATATTTTATTATGTAATAATCTTTCAGCAAACTATGTTAGTTTAAACTAAACATTGAGACAACGCCTAGGCTACTCAAATTAAATATTGTGCATCAAAATATACAAGGCTTAGGCGGCAAAGAACCCGAAATTGAATTGTTCCTTAGGAAATTTAATATACATGTCATCTGCTTCACAGAGACATGGTTACATAAGCACTGTAATATTGTTAATATAGAAAATTATAAATTGTTAAGTTCGTTCGTAAGAGTAAATGCTATTCGCGGTGGCTCTCTTGTATTAGTTAGAACTGATATAGTCTGTAAAAATCGACAGGATATAGTGGCACACTCTGTCGAACGTTCTATTGAATTATCCTGCGTTGAGAGTCAACAGTATATTATAGTATGCGTATACCGGCCCCCCTCAGGTGATTTCGATCAGTTTGAGTGCGTAATGGATGATGTTCTTAAAGAACTATGTTCAAGTAGTAAATCATTAATAGTTTGTGGAGATTTTAATGTGGATTTATTACAAGTAACACAACCCAGTAAACGACTTTTAAATTTATTTAACTCATTTGAACTTAAAAATCTTTTTCATGAACCAACTCGTGTTACTAACTATCCTCCTCATGTATAGATAATGTATTCTGTCACAGTGATGTATATGATAAATATGTTATAAATCATCTGAGCTCGGATCACTTTGGGCTAAAATTTTCAATAAATGAAAAAGCTAATACAAGCAAACTTAAGATCAAGTGTAGACCAGTCACTACTAATAGAATAAATGCTTTTAGAGATAAAGTGGTACATCATATGTTAAATAAAGATATAGAGAGTCAATAACCCTAATGACTCTTATAGATCAATGGTTGACTTTCTCATATCTTCTTATAATGATACTTTTAAATCGCGCACAATTGTTAAGAATTCAAAATTAAAATTTAGTGACTGGGCAACAGTGGGTATATACAAAAGTAGGGATTCATTGTATGAATTATATAGTATGAGGCAGTGGAATCACGATCCTAACTTCCTTAAACGGGTACAAACATTTTCAAAAATATTTAAAAAAGTCTGTATTCAGGCAAAATCTATTTATATAAGAAATAGCATAATAAATTCAAACAATAGAACTAAAGCCACATGGGACATCATTACCCGTATATCTGGAAGAACCAAGATATTCGGGGAACCTATAAAACTAGTTATAGGTAATACTCCCATAATATCAGATAACGAAATTGCGAGTAGTTTCGAAAGCTATTTTTCAGACATTGCGGTTAATGTCACACGTACATTAAAATCATCTCCCGCAGACGCAATTAATGTTATAAGAAATAAACCCCTTGCCTACACACATTAAAATTTAATCACGTAGATACTTATGATATTATAAAAGTTTTGAATTCTATTAATCTTAAAAATACAGAGGATTTATGGGGTATGTCCATAAAATTAATGAGCACAATAATGCCATATATTGCACCACATTTGGCTTCTATTTTTAACAACTGCATAGATTCTGGAATATTTCCAGATCCTATGAAATTTAGTAAGATAATACCTGTCTACAAAAGTGGTGATAAAAATGATCCAGGCAACTATAGACCTATTTCCATATTGCCATCTCTTAGTAAAGTTTTTGAAAAGCTAATATTAAATCAACTTTTAGTTCATTTTAATGTGAACAAAATCTTTCACGATGAGCAATATGGATTCACTAAAGGCAGATCGACAACAGATGCGGGCGTCGCACTTGTCAAACATATTTATAACGCCTGGGAAAGGTCACAAGATGCAATAGGTGTCTTTTGTGACCTTTCAAAAGCCTTCGACTGCGTAGACCATAAAACTCTCCTTCAAAAGCTAGAATATTATGGCATTCGTGGCATCGCCCTCAATCTCATTGCCTCTTACCTTAGTAATAGAATTCAAAAAGTATCTATAAATGATGTTAATTCCGCTGGGTCCCAGATGAAAATGGGAGTCCCACAAGGATCAATCTTGGGCCCATTATTATTTTTAGTATATATTAATGATCTCCCCTTTTATGCCAGTGGGTTGTGTGATGTTGTACTGTTTGCTGACGATACATCGCTTATTTTTAAAGTTGACCGAAACGTATTAAATTATGACGACGTGAATAGTGCACTTTCACATATCCTCCACTGGTTTACTATTAATAATATGGTATTAAATGCCAAAAAAACCAGATGTATTCTTTTTACCCTTCCCAGTATAAGAAGGAAAAGTTTTAGTGTAATATTAAATAACGTATCCATTAATCCAGTTGAGTCTGCTATATTTCTGGGAATTACAGTAGATTCAAAGCTCCAGTGGAGTCCCCATATATCATCTCTTGCGAATAGGCTGAGCTCCGCGGTTTTTGCGATTAGAAGGGTTATTCAGCTAACAGACATCGACACTGCCAGACTTGTTTACTTTAGTTATTTTCACAGCATCTTGTCTTACGGCATTTTGTTGTGGGATAGTGCATCAGATATAAATTCTATATTTATTCTTCAAAAAAGAGCTGTCCGAGCAATCTACAATATCGGAGCCTGGAATTCACTCAGAGATCTTTTCAAAGAGGTTAATATACTCACTGTTGCTGGTCAATACATTTATTGTAATGTTTTGTATATACGTCATAACCTTAATTATTACCTAAAGAATAGTGACAGACATAAAATAAACACTAGAAATAAGGACAAACTTACTACGCCATTGTTTCGTCTACAAAAAGTAAATAAGTCGTTCATGGGGCAAAGTGTGCGCATGTATAATAAAATCCCACAGTCGATATTAAGTCTGCCGCTTGACCAATTTAAATGTAAAATTTAAAAATCAACTGATGATTAAAGCATATTATACCATTTCGGAATATCTCGACGACGCCAATGTGTGGAGTTAATACTGTTGATACTCACGTAGGCTAGAATAAGACTATTATACCTGTATATTATATTGTACCCTGATATTTTTGAAAAAGAGCAACTGTTGAGTTTCTTGCCGGTCTCTTCTCTACAGAAACCGCTTTCCGAACCGGTGGTACCTTACGAACCTATACACATAATCTTTGATGTAAAATTTGACGATTCATAAGAGCGCGCAAGCGTCTATTTGAATAAATATATTTTTGATTTTGATTTTTGATTTTGATGTTTTCGAGATTAGAACTCTGTTTGCTGCAGTAGGTATATTTGTTTAAGAGGGCGCTCGGACTCTGACTGTACTAGCTACTGGTTGTAGTTTATAGTGTATCTATTGTATTGCGTGTTGGTAACGACCGGCGATTGTTCGAACGTCACTGACGTATCTCGTAGGGAGCGTATTAATGACGCACGCGCTGTACGAACGAACGTATGGCCGCGAATGAATTTGAATGACGAACGCGAATGTACGAACCGATCGTTCGAATGACGCAGGTGCGCCCTGCTCGAGTTGTGGAACGACGGCACCCCAGCCCTGGACCTTCCCGGGCTGCTGGCGTACCGCAACGGCGACGAGAGACCGCCCACAATGACCCTGCCCGAAGGCAGCGAACGCGGTCTCAGGGAGCTCTTGCACTCGATGACGGAACGCAGCCCCCGGGACAGACGCAGCGCCGAGATATACCTGGACGAGGCGAGGGGCAAGTATGTCCCGAGTCTGCAGTGTAACCCCCCCCCCTTTTTTTTAGTTTAATAAACAATCTAGCATAATAAAAAAAAATTTACACTAATGTTGCGATATATTCTTAAATCATCAGCGTATTTTTTAAAATTGGATTTAATACAATTTACAAGGTCGTTAATAAAAATTAAAAAGAATAAAGGGCCAAGATGCGATCCTTGGGGAACACCTGAACGAACATGGTATTGAAAAGATTTAAAACTGTACACTGAAACTCACTGCTCTATCACCCTCAACACATTGCAGATTGTTCCCGGAGTACTTTTACTCGTTCCTCCAGTCCTACATGCTGATCTTCTCCGCTCAGCCGATTCTGCCGGCGGACGAGAAGATCCTGCGCATCCACCAGGACATAAGGAACATCATCAAGATCTTCACCCAGCCGTCGGACACGAGGAACTACCAGGACCTGGTGGAGGAGACGACTGAGACCAGCGCGGTGAACATAGAGGCGCTGATGAAGGAGGGTTTCAAGGTCATGAGCATCAACGTGACCGATTTCGAGGAGGAGGCGGACAGTAAGCCGCCGGATAACAGAGAGATGGGCCCCGACAGCGAAGGTCTGATACTGATCACGTCTTTAGTGACCTCCTGCATAAGGGGCCTCCATCACTGCACTTCGAAGCTGTACTGCTTGGAGATTCTGCAGCTCCTCTGCGAGAACTCCAGCTCGGAGACGATCCTGGATAGAATCCTGCCGTATATAGTGAGTGTTTCCGATTTTATATTTGATGCTAACTAGTTTTTAGTGATAATCTTTGCACTTAGATGAAACTAAAATGTTTGTATAAAGATTCGTTAAGAACACAAATGTTTTGTATGGTACTAAATTGCGCCCGAGTAAAGTTGGCTTTATGTTTCTACATAATCGTTTACCTGTTACCAGTAAGGCTTAATAGAATTACGAAATCACTAAATCGTCGAAATTCGCAAAACTAAATCACAACCATTTATGAGCATGGTTGTCATGTCATAGTTTCGCGAATTACGCACATCAAAACGTAGTGAGAGATACTTTCGTTCCCACTCCTATAGTCATGGGAGTGACCATCACGGTCACTTCCAGTGGTCATAAATGCCACGAATTGAAAAAATGATTTAAGAAACTAGCTTATGTCCACGACTTCGTACCTATCCAGAGAAGAATCGGCCAGAAACTCGGCGGCCTTGTTCTTTTCTTTCATTATAAATCAAAGAAAGCGAAAACAATGGCGTACACAATACACAACACACCTCAATCTTTTCTCACTTGGCATGGATCTTCTGTAATGCGGTTGCCTCGAAGAAATTGCTTCTAAGCGATAAGGCTGTACGTAATTCTTGTCTGGTGTACAATAAAACGTACTTCATTTATTCATTCATTCAACAGCGGTTAGAATAAATGAGTAACGTGGTTACCTGGAAGAAATCGCTTCTAAACGAAATGGCCGCCAATTCTTTTTTTTTCTTTTTGTATCTGTATATAAATATTTTAACCTGTATTTAATTTTTGTCCGGTGTACAATAAAGCGCATTTCATTCATTCATTCATTCATTCACTCATTCATTCATTCACAACACGAGTAAAAGAAGAGGTGTTTCACTCAGTGATTTGCGTGCAGATCCACCTCTCCCACGACGGCACGGCCCGCGTGCGCTCCGCGGCCGTGTGGGCGGCCACCAAGTGCCTGTCGCAGGTTCGATCCCTGCCGCCGACCGGCTGCAACGTGTTCCCAGAGTACATACTGCCGGAGCTGGCGCCCAGGGCGGCCGACTCGGCGCTGCCCGTTCGGATCGCGTACGCCAACAACATCGGTTGGTGCCCAATATAGTTTCGGTTAAAAGCCATCACCATCATCATCATCACCCTCATTTGTAAAGTACGGTTAGTGCCCAATATTCCCACGTTTCGCTTAAAAGCTTCATCGTCATATACGTTATGAACATAATTCATCACACATTTTGATAAATGATGATTCATTAAAGTACCAGCCTATACATGTCCCACTGCTGGGCTAAGGCGTCCTCTGTAAAGAGGGTATCAGGGCATAGTCCACCACGCGGCACCATTACCGATTGGCGAACTTCGAAATATTTCTTTTTAATCTTATTTCGAAAATTTGCAGGTTCCCTCTCGATGTTTTCCTTCACCGCGGAGCACGTGATAAGTCAGCACTTAAAGTTAAAAACTTCATTGGTGCCGGCACCGGGGATCGAACTCAGGTTGCTCGAGTATATTGGAACTAAAGGCGAGCGCCCGGACACTGAGCTATCACGGCTGTTATCATCAAAATCCTCATTGTCATGAGCCTCATTATCAAATTAATTTATGTATATGAGACAATAACTCCAAACTTATTAGGAATTGTAAATGTCAAATAAACAATCGTTTTGCTCTGAAAACAAAGATTTTATTTCAAATTTTGCATACACATAATTATAATTACACTTTTAGATTAAATCATACTATCCTACCTGAAAACAAAGAAACGACATTTAAAGTCTATTCTTCCAATTATCAATTCCTTCTTATACAATTTTTATTAACTAAAAATAATTATGCTCCATCACAACTCATCTGTCAATCCATATATAAGCTGCTTTCCCGACAAAGTTGACCGCCATTACTCACAGAGCCATCTATAGCGTACATGAGTATGGTCACTGACAGAAAAGCGCTGTACATATTAAAGAAATATAGTTTCTTTACATGCATATAAAAGCAATATTAAAATACGTAAATTTTTATACCGACAGCGAAGTTGGCCGAGACCGCCGTGCGGTTCCTGGACCAGACCCAAAACATGGTGGACAAGGACGCCGCCAACATAAATTACGAGACAGAGCTCTCGGCTCTACACGAAATGGTGAGATTCGCGCCATATTACCCTTTAAAGGGCGAATGTGCTTTTAATATTCTTTTTTTACATTGCCCTTTCTATAGGATAACACTATCCCGTGTTATAAGAACGTTTTACATACATGAATTTCATCTGGAAAAACACTATACATAATTGAGTTAATCAAGTTCTCTCCAACGTTCCTTACAATATAGAACTGAGTGGGTAATGTATAAGATGCTACCCAAATACAGGTACACAAAGATCGCAGACACCAAGGGTCCATATAGGTCCATATAAGTCCATACCAGCATACTTTTCGGTTGTCATTTGTGAGTGTTCTCAATGCCGGACTAACCACATAGCTACAGTAGCAATTGCTACAGGCCCCACGCGAAAGGTGTCCCCGCATATCAAAACCCACTCATCTCTGTAGAAGGAGCTCAGGAGGTTGTGGGCACGCACCCGCTGCCCACGAGTGAAGACACGTCTGAACCGGGTTAAGGATGAGCTGTCGGCAGCCATCAAGGCGTATAGGGGTGAGGGGTGGGAGCGCCGCATTGAGCAGGCCTCCGAGTCGCAGACCTCCCTTCACCATCTTAACCGACAGCTCAGCCGAACCCCACAACCCATCTGTCCACTCGTGGGCAGTGACGGACGTAAGCACGTTGCAGCCCAAGACAGGGCTGATATTCTGGCAGAGCACTTAGAAGGACAATTCGTGCCCAATACATCGGCCCCAGGCGCCATTGCGTTCCACAAGGAAGTGGAGCGGCACATACAGGTGTTCCTGTCGGAGCCGGTGCCACGGCTGGATGGTGGACTTTTCATCACTCCGGCCGAAGTGAGTAGAGCCGCGAGTCATCTCGCGCTCCGCAAGGCACCCGGCACCGACGGAATCACCACGTTGGCGATAAGGCAACTACCGAAAAGGGGGTTAGTGGCGCTGTGCCGCCTGTATAATGGTGTACTGCGCACGGCGCACTTCCCCTCTGAGTGGAAAACCGGCAAGATCATCGTCCTGCCAAAACCGGGCAAGGACCGACGACTTCCGGCGAGCTATCGGCCAATCACGCTACTGCCGCACGTAGCAAAACTCTTCGAACGGTTGCTGCTGCGGAGAATAGTTCCCTGCATCGAGCTACGCAGGGAACAGTTCGGTTTCCGCAGCGGCCACTCCACCACAGCGCAGCTGGCCCGAGTGCTGCACTATCTTGCGGCCCAGTAAAAAAGGGGCCGCATATGTCTGGGAGTCCTTCTTGACATGGAGAAGGCCTTCGACAGAGTGTGGCACGAGGGTCTGCTCTACAAGCTATTGGAAAACACCACCACCCACCGTGCGCTCGTGCGGTTAGTAGCGTCATTTCTTCAGGACCGGAAGTTCGTCGTACACGTCGATGGAGCCGACTCGGCGGTACGATGCATCAAAGCCGGTGTACCACAAGGTAGTTGTCTGTCACCACACCTGTATGCGGTGTACACGGACGACATTCCCACCTTGGAGCAAAACGCCTCCGACTGGGATGAAGACGTACTGTTGGCCCTGTACGCGGACGACAGTGCGTTCTTCACGTCTTCTCACGTCGCGGCGATTGCGGCGAGGAAAATGCAGCGCCAACTGGACCTGCTGCCCGAGTGGCTGGATAAGTGGCGGATGTCTGTCAACGTCGACAAGATGTCCGCCATATATATCCGCCGCATTAAAAACCAACCCACGCTTGAGCTGCGAGGTCAGGCGATTACCAACCAGAACGTCATAAGGTACCTTGGATGCCGGATAGACCGCTCGCTGTGCATGGCTCCTCCCAGGTCGGACACGCCGTCCGACAAGCCAGAGCAGCTCGAGCCATGCTGTACCCTATCCTGGCATCCAGGTTACCCATCAAGACCAAACTCGGCGTCTACAAGACGTACGTCCGTTCGCGCCTGACCTACGCCGCTCCGGCGTGGTATGGTCTGGTTTCCGCCTCGCAGAGGCGCAGGCTCCAGGCGCAGCAGAACTTCGCCCTTCGAGTAATCGTGGGGGCCGGGCGCTACGTCAGGAATGACGTAATCGCCCGCGATTTAAAAATGGAATCCATCCAGGAGTTTGTGGTCCGGTTGGCCCGTCGCATGTCCGACCGGGCCGGCAACGGGCCACACCCAAACCTCAACAACATCGCACCCCTCCACGCCCGTCCTCCTGACGGGCGCCCGCTCCCACGAGAGCTAATGCGGTCGAGGCCGGGGAGAGAAGACGATGTCGTCCACGCGTTACACACCGCGTGTAAAGCTGTACACCCGCCAGTGCCGCTACCGCGGTCAGAGTTAGGGATGACCGTTGGTCATCCTTTCCACCGACCAGCCTTTGCTGGTCGAGATTATGTCCGAGGCATGGGGGTTGCCCCGATACTCGTTTAAAAGCAGGCCTCGCGCCTAGCTTCGTACATCACCATCATCTCTGTCTTAGCGTAACTTTTTGAGCGAAAATTATTGAGTAAGTATGAGTATTGAATTGATTTTTTTACCACTTTATACTTGAAAACTCATTGCAGATCAAGGTCCGTTTGAAAGAATTTGCCACGGGACCCGCGCTTGCTTAGTTCGGCACTGAGTATGCTTAATTTTTTTTTTATACGAAAAGTTGTCAAACGAGCAGACGGTTCACCTGATGTTAAGTGAATACCGCCGCCCATGGACATCTGCCACACCCGAAGGTTACAGATGCGTTGACAACCTTTTGAAAATTGGGCTCCGGCTACCTCACTCACCAGACGAAACGCGAAAGTATTTGTCACACTTCCACTTTACGCTGGTTTTCTGTGAGGTCGTGGTACTAATAGTCGTGACCTCATTGCAGGTCAGGTCGACGGTCTCCTACCTCCTGACAGACTCGCAAGCGGTCGTGAAACGGGCGTTAGTGGAGAACGGCATCACGAAACTGTGCGTGTTCTTCGGAAAACAGAAAGGTATTACCAGTTTGCCCTTTTTAATAGATAATATTTTGAAAAAACTACAAAACAGTGCAATCCGAATTGATGAGTAGAAAATAATTTTGAAATAAGAATAGTTCGTTAGTCCACCACTTGATGATATTTCAGGAATGACCGTATAGTAAAAACTAAGTTTAAAAAAGAAAAGTAAAAAAAGTAATTTTATCGTGAAAATGCGTGTGGTGTTCTTTCATCATATTTTGGTATTAACTCGAACTTTATAAGAATCTATTTATTAACCTTTCTGGAATATTTGATGCGGCTTTATAACAATAAAATTATATATTTTACTAAAACTTTGCGTGTTAAAAAAATGTATTAAAGGTCCGTGTGTGAGCAAATACCATTTTGGTGACTTCAATGGTTCCAAAGGTCATACTGATTATGGACCCCATAGTAGATGTGATTCAAAGGTAGATCTGTTCGCATATTACTTTTTTATTTATTAATATTCTATAATTATTTACTTTTTGTATTAATTCGATGATTTTAAAATTAATGTTCAAGGAAAAATTTTCATTAATATTTTTCCTTCGTGAATGAAAACTAGCAAACAAAACGATAAAAAAGAAAATAACAGAATGAACCTAGCCCCCGTTTCGTCGATTAACTTACGTGCTAGAAGGAGAGAGTCAAACGAATGGGATTTGTTCCGCGCGCGACAACTTTCCGCAAGAAAAAAAATGTGTCCGCTCACCGCGGTGAACCTTCCTCGTCAGCGAACGACGTGATCCTGTCGCACATGGTGACGTTCCTCAACGACAAGGAGGAGGCGGCGCTGCGCGGCTGCTTCTTCGAGCGCGTGGTGGGCGTGGCGGCGTACGTGGGCCAGCACGCGGCGCCCATACTGGTGCCGCTGCTGCAGCAGGTAAGGGCGGCCCCCATCGAGAATGATCTCGAAATGGGTTCCCGCATCTTTGAACAGGTCGTCATTGACGACTTGATTTCGCAGACAAAAATGACGGACAAGATTTTAGATATTGTATTTTAAAGAAATCAGAATTAAATAAATAGAGAAAGAATCCTTAATAATTGTGTACCACTGTACCCAAGTTGTGTTTTTATAAGCCACTATCGAAACGATTGAGGAAAGTTAACCCCGACCAGACAATATTTCTTTTTTTATCAGTAAAGAAATGCAACAGAACAATCTACTAAAAATGGACAACACCAAACAATAGAACGTTTGATCTCTCCAGGGCCTGACGGATCAATCGGAGTGGATCATTGCGAAGGCACTGCGAGCCACTAGCAGCTTGGCCGAGTTGGGCCTTTTGCCAAAACAGGCCCTCTGCGACCTGCTCGCCGAAAGCGCTGTCTACCTCGCACACCCCAATCTGTGGGTAAGTGGGAAAGGGATGGTGTATACATACCAGTCTTTAACACACCCGTGTACCTCGCTCATCACAATACGTGGGTGCGTGAGAAAAGTATAGGTCCTCTCACCAAATTAATATTTCCGTCTATCTTGCACGCCCATATTGCGTGCAAGACGGAAAGAGTAGAGTGGAAAAGAAGGAGTGGAAAGAGAAGAGAGAAATGAGTGTAAGTGGGAAAAGGGTAGGGTATATGGAGCAATCCTTAATATACCCGTCTAGCTCGCGCACCTCATAACAGAGATATCTTGAGACAACAACGTACACATATAATCTATATTTTAACTTCCCATTAGGCTCAATTATGACACAGGTTTTTATTATTTATCTCTGTAAGGCTGAAATATTTTACCAGACAAAGAACAAAGGTTTTCGCATCAGTCCCATATTGAAGGATCAAAAACGTTGTCGGTGTTTCAGATAAGACACGAGGTGTGCGGTCTGGTGTCATGCGTTGCCGGCCTTCTGAACCCCATCGACGTCAACTGCAAGATCTTGCCGCTGGTGTGGCCCCACCTTAAGCACAAGCTAATCCAGGTGCCCCTTTTGGTATTATTACGTAACGCTTTATAACTAACTAGCTTTTCGCCCTCGTTGAAACCCTTAAATAAATATCTTTCTTTAACCTTTCAACCCTTTAATAATAGCCTATGTCTATCTGTGTACCAAATTTCATTTAAATCGTTTCAGTAGTTTTGGCGTGAAAGCGAGACAGACTTACTTTCGCATTTATAATATTAGTATGGATATGCTCCATTGCGCCTCACTTTACTCACTTTGGCATTCTCTATAGCTTTCTCTTTCTAGCATCCTTCATTTCTCGTTCGAATTATCGTTGTATAACGATATTCGAAATTGTTTGTATGCTGGAAAGGATATAACAATAGATGCGTCAAGCATTGCTTCAAATGCTAAATAACAATGTAGAAAGAAGGCGTTAAGATTTTCGTCGCTGTGGCTATCAGCCGTTTAGCTCAGTGGCTAGAGCGTCAGGCCGCGAATGCCGAAGACGCGGGTTCGATTCCCACAGTGGCGACAATCTTTTCGTACTTTTTCTACATGTTTTAATATTAAGAAATTATATCCATATTCCAGCGACTCTAGTAATTGCATGACAAGTTTGGTATTTGTGCTGGGGACAGTGATATCTGATAGGTACATTATAGTTTTGTAAAATTTCCTGTTGTCGAAGGTTGAGAGGGCTGAACTGCTATTGGAAAGTCTCGCAGAACCGATACCGAGGAAGGTGCTGGATGCGGTGCTGCGGCATGGCGATGTCGACAGGCTGGTGCAGACCCTGCGGGAGAGGAGGAACGCACGCCTGAGGGTGGGTTGATAGGTTATTTGATTGTCTGATTGATTGTGATCATAGTGATTCAGCTTTTATTTGATTTTCTGATTGATCATGATCATAATATTTCTGCTTTTATTTGATTTTCTGATTGATGCTGGTCATAATTTTTCTGGTTTTATTTGATTTTCTAAATGATGATAATCATAATATTTCTGCTTTTATTTTATTTTCTAAATGATGATGATCATAATGTTTTTGCTTTTATTTGTTGGTGAAGTAGCCATAGAGAGGTGAATATCGTGTGTACGAAACCGATATGTAAATGTGATCTCTGATTAAAACAAACTATTTTTCATCGTGTTGTTTTTGTTAAAAATTGTGAATGTGATACACATTCAAGCAAATGACTTGATGTCTCCACTACTCGTTCGATCGGACATGTGTGCGTAAAAGAAAATTATAAAATTCGATATAAATTTTTCAGGTGAAACAGGGAATGATGCCACAGTACTGCGAAATGGGACAGCAATTGAAGAATCTCTTCAGGAGGCTGGCTTCAGATGGTATTTACTAAATATTTTTGGCTAATTGTTTATCTTAAGAACTACAAATTCGTTGATTTAACGGATTTCCTACCTCCATTCATTCTTCTTGCATGTACACTAAGTTGGAAAGTTTTATAGTTTATAGTTTTTCATACAAACTGCAAAGAACGATATAATGTGTAGTGACATAAACAATTATATTATTGTAGGTTGACTGGTAGGGAACAACTAATTGTCTTAAGAGCGCCAGTTTACGTTATTGTGCATCAAGTTTTTAAATAAATAAACATTTCGCTAATATCTGCAAAGCTTACGATTTTGAAATCCTGCAAAAGGCTTACTAAGAGAAGTTAAGTTGAGTAGCCATGCCCTTCATACCCTTCCTTGCCGCCTAGAGCACGTTTGAACTATATTTAATTGTTACTCTTCTTTATTTATTTATTTAGGCTTATCAACTTTTCACAAACAGAAAGAACATTATTTAACTAAAAGGTATGCACAATCGGCTGACACTCTATATGAAACTTAACATTAACATATAATAAAATATAATATAAACACAAAAACACTATTTTATGCAATACAATAAAATTAATTAACATCAACTTCTTTAACTTGAACGTGTATTATTAACGGATAAATTACTTTCTTTCTCTCTTATTTTAGGTACTTTCCCTTTACCTTTTCCCCATTTATAACTGGTATTATCCATTCTCTTTTCTGTGCCACCCTTGCTGATTATTCTTACCCTTATGTTACTCTATTTCTCTTCAACTATTCTCGTAGGTTTAATATGAGCCCTTTACAGGCATGACAGAGCACGTCGAGAATCAGTTACTAGCGATGAGCGCCCATCTCATCAAGATTCAAAGCTCGACCACGCAGGTACTAATTTACTTGTTAAAACTATTCTTTTAAATAACACATTCCCTCTCGTTTTTTTTTCTTTAACTGGGTTGATAGAATATTTCAATGTTCGCTCGATGTTTCAATTAGATTTTTGTGTCTCAGAAGTGTTGCACAAATCTGAGACAGTGTTTTTTGCACCCATGAAAACCAAAAACAGAAAACGTACTATTTCACGCAACTGGGTTTTCGAATTGTGAATACTAATTATTATTTTTTATCCAATGTTAAGTGATAAAGGCCGCCCATTAAAATTTACAACACACGTAGTGCTGCAGATGCGTTGCCACCTTTTAATAAAGTGCCCTTCTTCTCCTCTTGCCCTTATCTCACGTCACCCACCTAGCTCCGGCACAACATGTTGTGAGCGGTTTTGGCTACTGCATGACGTCAGCCCTTGGGAAACATTACCCAGATCCGGAAAAATTATCTGTGGGTCACACAAATACTTGTCCCGTGCGGGAATCGAAACCACGAGCCCCGACGCCGAAGCCAATAGCTTACGACGGTGTACTGTATTATATATTATATTTCGGATCAGCCAACTATACCTTGGTGGAAAAAGTTTGTAGCAATATATTTTTGTAACAAATATATCTTTGTGTATACTTTATCTGTACCGTAACGTACCTTATGGCTAATTTTAGAAAATACGGAAATCGACTAAAGAAATGTTGGCCACCCTAATCTCAATACCGTCCTCTCTTTCACTCTCTCTCTTTCTATCTCCCTATACAAACTCGACTCGCTCGCGTAGCACATCACGGACGCGCCCGGGCGGCTGGTGCTGTCCGGGGGCGGGATATCGCGCTCCGTCCAGCTCGAACCCGGGCCCGCCGAGAGCGCAGCCCCCCACCACTCCGACAGGGCCTTCGCCCCCACACAGCCCAGGTCAGCATTTGCCCCTGAGGGTTCTTAATACCCCCTATTTGTGCGTAAACGAAACGTTGCAATATTTTATCGCTGAGTATCCGATGTTAGCGTATAACTGTTTAGTTTTTCTATCTCCTTTCTTCTATTGTAAATAAGAATGGATGTTTTATGCTTGTCGTCTCCATTACATCCATATTGTCCCATAACCACACAACTATCATTGTCCCATTCCTGTAACATCACAAAATCCTTTACCATTCGTCGAATTGTGACGAAATGTGTCTGGTGTCAGAATTTTCGTTCATGTTTCCGCCCTCCATGAAAAAACAAAATATACTACTGTGAAGTCTTTATTATTAGTATTTTTCTTAACGCGTCATTGCATTGCCAGCTAATGCTAGGCCGATAAAGCTGTAGGCCGTTACTTTGTTCGCGATTGGCAACCACTTACAGTTGATATTATCCGTCTCCAGGAGGAATCAGAAGACGTCGTTGTCACACGAGGCGCATATGAACACCGAATGGCAGCACATGTTCGGCCAGTCGCTCGAGCAGTCGAACAAGCGTGAGTCGCTCTCTGAAAAACTTCGTCTGGTCAACCAATGCCAAAGTCAGTCAGTCTAGTTAGACCGGGGAAGCGTCGCGACTGAAAACTAACTGCTCTCTGGTGAGTGTGGTCACCCATTGGCTTGAAGATCAGCGCTAGTGGACAAACACACCGATGGAATGGATTTCCATCGAATCATCGACAAAAATCAGCAAAATGAACACTATCATAATTGTATCATAAATTGAAAACTAAATATGTCATTTTTGCGATCAATGAAAATTGTCTTATGCACAGTAATTATTTAATGTAGTAATAATGTGGTTCATGATTAAGGTATACATGGAAATGGGTAAGGTACATCCGGTAATAGTGCTTAGATTTTACCTGTTTGGTGCTTTAAATACTGTTGACGTTACACTTGCTTAGAATTGTGGCATTGGGTGTCTTTGTTTTTAATGATAATTGCCGGAGGGGGTAGTTGTGGACATTACTGTATGAATGTATATATAACGTATTTAATCCAATGGATTTTATTCAACTTATCATTTAGACAAACTAAGATCAATAATCAGAGAGTCCAATGTGTTTTCCCTTTCACAACTGACCAGCTCGGCGATAAAAGCTATTATTTGAGACAGAAACGATAACGTAAATAAAAAAAAAACTAGCTTTTCACTGCATTAGAGCCACGCAACAGCGTCTGCTGTTGTACAAAGGGGTGGGCTCGTTCGGGGAAGTCCCTCGACCTCACACAAGACCAACGAGTAATAGAAGTTTAGCTTTTCGTCTGGTGAGGTTAGGTTTGAATAATAGAGATGGGTCCGCTGTTTTAAATGTTGGCAACATCTGCGACCCTCAGATGTCGTAATTCCATAAATGGTTCCTGATAAGTTAACTTGAACTGCGGTAGCGCCACTCAACAGCCTCGGCTGTTGCACGAATGGGCAGGTCCGTCCGGTTAAGTACCACGACCTCACAGAAGACCGACGTGAAGTAGAAGTGTGACCCCTGCGTTTCGTCTGGCGAGTGAGGCAGCTGGAGCCCGGTTTGACACAAGGTGGCAACGCATCTGCAACCCTGTGCAGTGTGCAAACTTCAATGAGGCGGTGGCTGTTTCATTACGGCATTCAACATCAGGAACTACCAGCTCGTTTGCCACCTTCTCGTTAAAAATATGAACCGGGCAGGCGGCTAACTGAAACCGCGCATTGCAGCCACTGAGCAGGTGGTGCAAACGGCCAGCGCGAGCGCATCGAGCGCCCCCCACTCCGCCGCCCCACCAGCCCACTCCCAGATGGGCCACAGCGCCAGCTATGTGCAATGTGCGTGACACGTTTTATCGCTCGTGGGCTAATGGTCGAATTGCAACGATTTAAAAAAAAAACCCGCTGAGTTTCTTTCCCCGGTTCTTCTCAGATGGCGGACATTAGCTTTCCTTTTCCGACCCAGTAGTAGTATTTTGACCGTCGATAAATGAGTGTAATGCTCCTATGTCGAATAAAGATATTTGAATTTGACTTCTTAGTTAAAAGACCGAGATCCGCAATTTAAAAAGTTTAAATTGCGGATCTCGGGAGTCCGCGATGGATCCTAGTAGATCCCTTGTAGATAAAAAATTGTAGGCGCAGAGAAGGATTTTTTATAATAATTAAAATATATTATGTATTTCTCTATAAAGACTTTACTATCTCGGTCGGTCTTAACATTTCATGTCAAACAACGTATAATATCTTGAATTGGCAAATTCGATCACTAGCCCTCGTAAACTGTTAAGCTTTGATGTTCGTTGTAGCTTGTGGCTTATATTTGGGGAATATGTAATGAGCTATGTGTATTTTTACTTCGACTACTACTATGAATTTATAAAAAAATATCTTATCTGTGGTTTACTTTGGCAATTTTGTAAACGCCTCTTGCAAATAAATCTATTTACTCACGGGCACTTTTAGATAGATGCAGGGTTTGTAAATACTTGTTAATTTTTTCTCTAAAAGTTAAGGAGATAATGTTAATTACAAACAAATCTTTTCCTATCCTTTTAACATTTTAACCCTATGGTATACTACGTAAGGTCGTAAGTATAAAATTAATATCGTTCGCCTTTATTCCTAGACAGCATGGCCCCCTGTCGCATCGAGTTGAGGAATCTGACGGCGCGTATGCAACAGAAATTCCAAAAGTCTTTGAGGTAATTTCACTGTTTAATAATTTGTTACATTGATCGGCCATGGAACGCTTTCTTATTTTTCAGATTTCCTTGTCCACCGGGTCCTGTTTTAAAAAACATAAAGTGAATCTATTATATTCTAAAATTGACAAGGGCTAATCATTTATATACAGCGTGTCGTTACCATCGCGACAATAAATGAACACACGTCTAACGCTACTTGCCAATAATCATAAAAAAATATTAACGTTAAACAAAATTCATAACTAAAAAAAAATATTTTTCAAACAAACTAATTAAATAAAAAAGAAACAAAATTTGTAACATCCTATATAACTCGCGCCACAGCGTCACATTACAAGTCTCTCCTTCTAACAGTATGTTTTGTCTCTTTTAAATTCATTCAACCCATTCATATACTTTGTGACCTTTACAAATGAACTATACGTTACGCTTTTATAGGTAAGGGTGTTCTAAAATTCTTTATTTTGGAAAATTTAATAACTCTGTAAATATTGATGTTTAAAGAATGTAAATGTTTAATACAACTTTAAAAAGTTATCCCCTATATGTGTGTTTATTTATTGTCGCGATGGTAACGACACGCTGTATACATATTATATATACCGACTAATACTACTGCTATAAATTTTTATTAATAATAATTCATTTGTTTCTCCATAACAGTAACATTGTTATTTCTTTGTTCTAGAAAATGTAGTAGTTTCTATAGGGTTATTTTCTGTTTGATTAAATTATAGTTGTATGTTATATAGTGTGGTGCAATGTAACTTACGGTGAAATAAATAAATACATTTGAAAATTCCGCCGCTTCGTGGTTCAAATTGGAGTTGGAACTTATAAAATTCGCTATTCCCGAAGATACAGTCATTGAAATTAGTACATCATCTTCTGGCTCGGAAAAATTGCAATATATATGTCTTTAGATAATAAATCATTTGACTTCACTCCAAACGCCTCGAAGATTTTTATGAGACTGCAAAAATTAAAATAACATTAAGATTGATAAACATAATATTATGTTTCCCTAAACTATTGTTTGCAGGAGTCACGAAGATGGCAGCGAGAGCGCTGAAGACATGCTGCCCCCAACTACGTGGCGGCCTGGTAACCAGTTGTTGGCGTATTTACACGAGCACAAGTCAGTCTCTATTTATCATCGTATTTTGCATATATCTTGTAAATACTCTATACCCCTCCAAATTAACCCAACTGTTTCTGACATTTAAACATATATATCTTGTGTCCACGTGAACTTTATATATGTAAAACGTCCTTACAACACAGGATAATGTTATCCTATAAGGGTCAATGTTTTCGAAGGGAAGACCACAATATGTCTTCCATGTCGCAGTGGGCATTGGGACTTACTACCTGACCAAGGGGTCAAATTACGGATCACATATGATTGATTATGTCGCCTTCTATCTACATAATCAATCACATGATTGATGAATCACATGAATCAATCATGTGATGGATATTGTCCAGGGCGCGAGTTAACCAGCTTGTGCGGCTTCCCGCCCACCGTGGTCTCTTCGGCTCCTGCTCTGACGACGGAACGGTGCGTTTATGGGACGCCACACGCCTCCAAGGCCACGCCTACGTGAACAAGTAAGCTCAATATACGTCTTTTAGGTAATTTTCACTTACTGACTTTTTTTAAAAAGTTGTCGCCCATTCGTGCCTTTGCTGTTATTATAAAAAAAAGTATCTGATATTTATTTCAATTACTCATTTTAGTTTTTTATGTAAAATAAAAGAATGGCCGACACTGTTCTTGTTCGCAGATCAAAATCAATGTACAACAGAAGTGCGGGCCCAGTGATATCACTCGCGGCTTGCGAGGGGGGACAATCTCTAGTCGCCGCTACCCAGGAGGGCTCCATCTTTGTACTCAGGTAATCTTACAACGTAAGGTAAATAATTAATTTGGTCGATAGGCCGAATATTTTCCAGATCTTTCGGACCGGAATAATCATCACACATCCGTTTGCTTCAGGCTAGACAGTGACCGCGTATTTACATAGTCCTTGGAACCGGATTCATTGTTTTAGACTAGAGAGTGGACGTGTGTTCTCTCGGTCCATCATCATACAATAATCTTTTTCCGGCTGGAGAGTGAAACTGTATTTTTTTACATTCATTGTTTCAAGCTGGAAAGTGGCTGTGTGTTTCCCCGGTACTTCGAACCAGGCAAATCATCATACATTCATTATATTAGGCTAGACAGCGACCGCGTATTTTCCCGGTCCTTCCAACCGGATTCACCATCGTGCATTCATTTTGTACACAACATTCATTGTTTCAAGTTTTTTTTTCTTTTCTTTGAAAAACATTGCCCTTACATTAGGATAACATTATCCTGTGTTGAAAGAACGTTTTACAAACATAAATTTCATGCGAACAAACACCCAGATGCGGAACAACTTTCTATGGGCCACACAAATAGTTGTCCCGTGTGGGAATCGAACCCACGACCCCCGACGCCGAAGCCAATACGTTGGCAACTGCGCCATGGAGTGGACTGGAGAATGACCGCGTGTTTTCCCGGTCCTTCGAACCGGATTCCCCATCGTAATTACGTTCGTTGATTCAGGTTGGAGAGCGCTTCTTCGCGGATGACGCTCATAGTTACATTGATATCGATTGTTTCAGGTTGGAGAGCGCTTCTTCGCGGATGACGCTCGTAGTTACATTGATATTGATTGTTTCAGGTTGGACAGCGCTTCTTCGCGGATGACGCTCATAGTTACATTGACATTGATTGTTTCAGGTTGGAGCGCGCTTCTTCGCGGATGACGCTCATAGTTACATTGACATTGATTGTTTCAGGTTGGAGAGCGCTTCTTCGCGGATGACGCTCATAGTTACATTGACATTGATTGTTTCAGGTTGGACAGCGCTTCTTCGCGGATGACGCTCATAGTTACATTGACATTGATTGTTTCAGGTTGGAGCGCGCTTCTTCGCGGATGACGCTCATAGTTACATTGACATTGATTGTTTCAGGTTGGAGAGCGCTTCTTCGCGGATGACGCTCTCGCAGTGCCGGCAGGTGGAGGCGGGCGCGGAGGGCTGCGTGGCGTGCGCGTGCGCGGGCGGCGTGCACGCGGGCGTCATCTCGTACGCGACGCTCGGCGCCACCGTCGTGGGGTGGGACCTGCGCGCGCCCGGTACGTGCTGCCACGGTTTATTTTTATGTGAAAAGTTGCCAAGCGAGCAGACGTTTCACCCGATGTTAAGTGAATACCGCCGCCCATGGACGTCTGCAACACCCGAAGGTTCCAGATGCGTTGACAACATTATGAGAATTGGGCTCTGGCCTCCTCACTCACTAGACGAAACGCGAAACGTAAGTGATCCGCTGTGCCCGGCACGTGCCGGCACGGTGGCGTAGGTGATCCGCTGTGCCTGGCACGTGCTGGCACGGTGACGTAGGTGATCCGCTGTGCCTGGTACGCGCTGGCACGGTGACGTATGTATAGTTGCATGTACAGTTGCGAACAGCTGTCATTACGTTGTGTGATGTTCGCTCATTTGCTTTTTGAGTGAAATTTTTTTTGTGTTAAATTTGTATAGAAAAGAAAGAAAACTTTGAAATAATTTAGATAGAATTGGAAGTATTGTCGTGCCGAAATCAGCCGTTTAGCTGAGTGGTTAAAGCTTCTCGGCGCCATTCCAGAACACGTGGGTTCGATTCCCGCAGCGGCGAAAAACTTTCGTCCATTTTTTTTACTAATATTAATGTTTGTGTGTTGTTCCCCAGGAAATGCGTGGAAGCTGCAAGGCGATCTGAAGCAGGGCGTGTACACTTGCCTGTACGCGAACAGCGCGGGATACTTGGCGGTGGGGACCTCTAGCGGCGCGGTCTGCGTTTGGGACCTGCGGTTCCAGTTGCCCATAACGTCCGTCCGCCACCCCAATTGTAAGCCACCTCCGGTAATGCTAACCAATGGCAGCTGAGCGCTAAAGCTCTGGAGTCATTGAAGTCGAAAATGAAGTTGCTGAATTTATTTTTATGTGGAAAGTTGTAGAGCGAGCAGGTGGTGCACTAGATGTTAAGTCAATAACTGGTAGTGGTAATCTCTCAAAATCGGGTTAACCGCCCGCTCGTCTAGCAATACTTAATAAACGAAAGAAGTTATTCTGTCAAGGGTGCTAGATGTCAGGGAGGGACGGTAATCCCTCATCAAACATAGGACGAACCGCCCGCTTCTTAGGCAACATTTAGTAAACTAAAGAAGTAATCCCGTCCAGAGCGGTAGATGTGAGTGAGGGGCGGTAATCGCACAACATCAGGTGAACCGCCGGATGGGTTTCCTTCTAGGCCGAGTAGGGCGGCAAAACTTGGTGGATTATTTTTAGCAGTCGCTCGTTTCGCCCCTCGCGTGAACGATATCTCACCTGGCCACTGAAACTGTGCCGCAGCGGAGCGCGTGCGGCGCGTGGTGGGCTTCGGGCGGCGCACGTCGCGCGTGTGGGCGCTGGGGGGGCGCGACGCGGCCGCGTGGTGCCTCGAGTCCACGCAGCGCACGCACGCCCTCTGGCCGTGCACCAACGCGCCGCAGCCGCTGCACTACGCCGCCCCGGTCGGTGCCAGCCCGCCCCCTTACATCCATTCGAAGGGTGCAGATGCGATTACGCGTCCGCACGGAGAAACTCCTAATCAGTCTGTCGTCTTCTTCTCCTTAGCTCTAGAAAGTCTAGAACTAAGGAGAAGAAGACGGCTGATGCCCGGTTCCTATGTTCAACGAACGGCCGTTAGTTGCATAGCTTCGTAACTTTCATAACGACTTGTAGAATAAAGGAACGCTACTAACTCAACTCACTGTCCGTAGGTAATGCAACGGCTCGAAAGGAAAACGCCTCGTTTTGTTAATATAGGAACCGGGCGTACACGTCTTTTATCTACAAGTCGTTATGAAAGTTACGAAGATATGTAACTAACGGCCGTTCGTTGAATATAGGAACCGGGCATAAGAGGCGAAAGACAAGTTTAAGCAGTCGATGTCCTAACTACATGGAAATCACAACGTCTTATGTACACATTCTACGTTTCACCTTATGATAAGGGCTAGCGATAAAATTTAAAATTTATCTCAAAGCACGCCGATTGTCGGGTCTGTCGCAGGACCTTGGGTATCGCAGAATGAAGGAGATCGGTACTAACTTGTGTACGCCTCGATTCGAACTCGTTACACCCAAAGAAATCGATCACGTTCAGTTAAATTGTGTACAGAATTATGTTATCGCGGAATTATTAAAAGGAATGGCGTAAAAAATACGACATATACAACAAAAGGTAGGTAAGGTAATACAACGGACTTTCATAAACAATCAATGTCAATAACAATTCAACTTCTCCGTTGATGTCTTCGCATCACGTTAGAAAACTTGATGGGTTCGAATACTGTAACACTACCACATAATGCCAATAAATGCCAATTAACGTTGAGCCCCGCGGCAGGCGTCGCACTACATGAGCGCGGCGTACTGCGGCACGCGCGAGGGCTCCCGCTTCCTGGTCACCGGCGGCTCGGACCAGCGCGTCCGCTACTGGGACCTCGAGCACCCGGAGGACTCTTACGTGCTGGTGCACGCGCCGGGGGACCAGCTGCGCACCTCGCCGGGCGCCGTCAAGTACAGGTCAGCGGCGCAGTTGCGGCCGCCCCGATGTTGCAAGTGACCACAGGCGGCTCGTTTGCCTCCTTTAACCAAAAAAAAAAAAAAAAAAAAACGCAACAAAACAGTTGCAAGTGTAGCTCGTTTGCCTCCGTTTTCCGAAAAAAAAAAAAACTTCACAGTTGCAAGTGTACCTTAATTCAGGAGACCCGTTTGCCCGTTGGGTAATTTTTTCCATTAAAAAAAAAAATTGTTTGTGTACTTATGTAAGAACGTAAGAAGTTATACTACTTCTTTAGCGTGAAAAAAGAATGAATAAGCAAACATTTTTATCCCCTGTGCCTGTACTCTTTATTTTTGGAAAGAAAAAATTAAATGCAAACGGATAAAGGTTTAATAAGATAACTTGGTAAATGTCGAAAAGCTGTTTTTGGTTGACATAGTAACAACGTGAAATTGGTATCGAACAACTTCACGGTTTTACCATAAAATGATTTTTTACGGTGGTTACCGCGCCAAAAAAAGTATGATTTCAAAAAACTTCCATGTAGGTATCCGTATTCCATATAGATTTCTTGTTCTTACGCGAGAAATATATGTATATATGTGCACATGGTAGAATGAAAATGTTTCTACGGGGATATGATGCTGCCAAAAGCAGCGGCCTGTGCCGCTGCTTTTGGCAGCATCATTGGACCGCTGCGTTACCCCACCACAATGAATAAAATACCTAAAATGTCCTAGAATAAAAACACCCATTCGTCTATTTTATGTATTTGAGGCGTATCATTTGCCTGCCGTGGTAGCTTACTGACCGGTCGCTCGCTTTTAATTCATTATACTCGAGAAACCAGAGTTCAAATCTCAATATCAGCACAAATGAAATCAACTTTAAGTGCTGACTTATCACGTGCTCAGCATTGAAGGAAAACATCGCGAGGAAACAGGCAATTTTAATAATAACACAAAAAAATATTTCGAAGATATGTGAAGTCTGCCAATCCGCAGTAGGGTCGCGTGATTGACTATGCCCTAATACACTCTCTATAGATAAGTCCTTTACCCAGCAGTGGGATATATGGCTTTTACTTATTTTTTTTATATTACATAGTTCCTGTAGCACGGTTGTCTCTTTTATTAGGAGTCGGATAATCGACGGCACCACAGTGATCCAGGAATGCTCGAAACTCAACCCGAGCGCGCCCGTATCAGTTGTAGAGGAAAACGTGTACCGCACGGTGGAGTCTCGCACCTTCTATCACACCGCACCCATCACCGATCTCACGATGGTCGAGGGGAACAAATGCTACCTAGTCAGCTCCTCGGCGGACGGTGTGATCAACGTCTGGAAGTGAATGTGGCAGCGCTAGTGTCTACAGCTACACATTTAAGTGCAGTATTGCGATGCGATAATGTATATAAAAACATTGTTATGTTTTCTACCTATTTCCTAATATATTCGTTGCCTGTTGACAATGTAAATAAAGAAGTAATAGCTTGTTTATATCAGTAGTTTTTATTTATTTTTTTCTATTTGTGCAATTAGATACCCTATGTTTAGTTTTCAATATTCAATGGGTTGAATAATATATTTACAATACCAAAAAAATACATACCTATGCAAATGTGTGAAGAATCTAATTATCCTAACATATTCCACATGCACTTGTCTTTTAAAACTAAAAAAGTTTAGACACATGCTTTGCCTGTCCGAACTTTTTTATTTGAATACTATATATAAACTATTGAATATTTTTTTTTAAAAATTCTTTGGTAATACGAAACACTACTCACAAATAAGTACACATGTATTGAGTGAATGCTTTGCTTTGTACTAGCAATATAATGTAAATAAAGAAATTTGTTACAACTGTTTGTTGTTTTATTTACTGATACATTAATTTTAAAGTTTTTTATAGTGCTAATCTCTGCACTTAAGATTGAACATTAAAACATGTAGAAAAAGTACGAAAAGATTGTCGCCGCTGTGGGAATCGAACCCACGTCTTCGGCATTCGCGGCTTGACGCTCTAGCCACTGAGCTAAACGGCTGATAGCCACAGTGACGAAAATCTTAACGCCTTATTTCTACATTGTTATTTAGCATTTGAAGCAATGCTTGGCGCATCTATTGTTATATCCCTTCCAGAGCGCTCGCGGATGTGCAGTTGTAAGATTATACTGATCAGTGATAACCTAGTAAATCCTGATCTTAATTTGGTACATCAGTCTCCCACAATATGATATCAATTTTATAATATATTATTGTAGTAAGAGATAAAGAATTGATATTATAGTAATATTAACTCGAAAAAGACTATTTTACTAATCAACAGTAATGTTCCAAAAACTTTTCTAACACCACTGTACCTGCCACATGAATTAAAAAACACAAAGTAGTATAAGGACAGTAAATACATAAGCCTTTTAACATAATTTTTATTTTGAATTAAATCCTATTAGCAAAGATTGAGGAACATGCAGATCATAAAACAATGTCAAAGTTTTTATAAAATTATAATTTCCTTAACTTAAGTTTCCTCTTAACTTATGCAGCATTGTATGTATGATAGCTATGTAATAATTAATTGGAACTATGTATAAAAAAGTAACAGCCTATATATGTACTATCTATAAAAACAATATTTAATAGCATAAAAGCTTAAAGAGTACTAAGCTATAACCATACTAGTACTTGAAACTATACTACTAAGATTCAGTTTAAGTTATTATTTTATTCTAAAATAATTTTTAAAAGGTTGTCAACGCATCCGTAACCCTCGGGTGTAGCAGATGTCCATGGGCAGCGGTATTCACTTACCATCATGTGAACCGTCTGCTCGTTTGGCAACTTTTCACATAAAAAAAATAAACTTCAATGATATGAATAAAATGCATTCTTCCTTTGACATTATGTATACCCTGTTAATAAACCTAAAGGGGCTCTACCTGATTTACAAAATTGATTACAGAAACAATTACATAAACTTAATATTTATTTAATCCCTATGTTTACATTATGTTTATTACAGGTGAAAATCATCAAATTGTCATTATTTAATGGATAAATAAAATAAAATAGAGATTTCCAGGTAATAACCCATCATTAAAATAAAATTATAAAATTAATGCAAATTGATAAAATACTCTTAGCTGTTTTTATCACAGATTATGTAATTTCTCAGTTTTAAATATTTTTTTTAAGAAAAATGAACTTTTAAGGGTGGATTCAAACAAACTTAAATTTATACATGAGTAACTATATCAGAATTAATCTATTCCATGGTTTTAATCTCGAGTAAATCCATAGTCATATTTATCCATACTCTCGATTAACTGACAATCTATTCTAAGATTTAGATTTACTCTTGTATGGTCAAATCCACCCTTAATACCTTTTTTTAATAATTATGACTTTGATTGACCATTGTCAATTGTAGTTATAATTAGGTCTTTCAAATAAATTCTTTACAATATTTTACACCCTTTACAGAATTCTTTTGAGATATACAGAAGTTTTATTTTAAAATTGTGTTTATAAAGTTAACATTTTTGCTTATTAGTGGCTTCATGATAATTTATATTTATTAATAATTGAGAGTTATTTTTAACATTTCTGGGCAATTACTCACAAATTGCATTCTTAACTCTGTCATCCCCATCATAACTTACAGACAAATATTTTTACATGCCTAAATAGTTCTGATCTTATCACAACAATCTCATTTACTTTTACTGTCTTTCTTATCATCTTGTACATCTTCTAAGAGCTTTTCTAAATCAAGTCCTGCAAATTTTGAGTTTTGAGAATTTGAAGCATACTCAAGGAAGAGCTCTTTAAGAAACTGTAGATCTTTTGTGAGAGTCTTCACTTTCTCCTCCAACATTTGATTTTCCGCTTTTAACTTATTGACCCTGGTAAATGTCTCCTGCGTTCTTTGCTTTGACTTAAAGCGACTTTTCTTAACTGCCTGTAAAAATTATTTAGAATAAATAACATCAATAAGTTTAAACATATTTAAATACTATTTCAACCAGAGTTTGATAAGCATTTCATAACAAATTTATTGACATTGCATTACAGCATATATGCTGTGTAATCTAATTTCATGGTGTCATATGTATCTGCAGGGTAAATTTCTTACTCAATAAAACCAAACGGCTTTAACTTCTAAGACATTCACTTGCATCATATGGATAATTTAAAAACAGACGGCAAGAGAAATCTATTTAGTGGGCGGAATTATATTAGTGGTATAGTATGGTAAATTCCTTTTCTACATATCTATTGCTTATTCAGTATTTAGTAAGAGATTTCATTAAATACCTCATTATTTCTGTCCCTTCGTCTCCTATAATCTTCGTCTTCATCATCAGCATCGCTTAAGCCGCGCTTAGGACGCTTTTCTGGTGGCATCGTGTTGAAATCGTCATCCAAAAGCATCAAAATTACTTGCTTGTTTAAGGAAACGACGCTCTGGTTTCAGTATTTGAAGATGGTAATAATGATATATTATAACAATTTCGTTTTAAGCTGGCGTAGTGTATGTATTTTCGAATTAAAAATATGACGCAATATTTTTATTTTCGATGAATGTCTCACAGCTTTAAAAAGAAATTAGCCTGGTGATTATTATTATTGCACTTCTCATTTATTTAATTTAGCTATTTCTTTTCCAGTAAAATATGAATTGATACCAAAAATAAAAACAAAAATTTGTTAAAAAAAATACTGCGTTCTCCGCTTTAAACTGTTTGACAATGAACATCAATGAATTGACATTTTGACAACATGACATTGACATAATGCAGGAGTGAGGCGTATTTATCGTAACAGGTATCTCGAGATAGCAGACTGTACCTGTTACGAACAAACTTAAATAACAGTTCCTGTTCCACACAAATTGCTTAACACGCAGTCACAAGCTTTTCTTTATTCATGCTTACAACTGTCACCTTTTCGAACTAAAGAGATAAAAACTATTACACTTTGTCACAGTTGTTTCTGAATACTGTCACTGATACAAACTCTTTCTTTATCTTGTATCGGTCTTATAGCTGTGTTAGAAAGAGAAGTATGGACCTCTAATTAAAACACTGTAACAGCTGTTACTATGGTTACAGTTACACAAATTGTCACAACATATTATGAAATAACAGGCTGTCATTTTAACAGGTAATTAGTTAGGTAAGGAACAGGAACAGGAACAGGCGTAACAGCTCACTCCTAGTATACTTTATGTCCTAATTCGTCGTATTTTCGCGTTAATTAAAATTTTTTTTTCAGGTAAGTTGATGTTAGTACAGCGGCTTTGACATTTTTGTTGGAAGAGGTCTACATGCAGACAACTCGTGAACACTGGAGAACAATGTACCTGGTGCATGACACGACATAATGTAACTTTGCACTCTACTGCACCTTCGAGACCTCTGTTAAGGAAAGATGGATAATTCCACTAACAAGAAGGGTCTTGCCATGATCTATAACCCAAAGGCTTAGACCGTGATCGACAGTAGAATCTATCCTGGGAAAGTAATAAGGTTTGAATTGAGATTAGTTCCAAGAAAAAACTCGTCTCGGCGCAACTACATCGAACCTAAAATAAAAATTAAATCAAGAAAAGAATTAATATAGACAACAACACGTCGCCGAAAGGGCACAGCGATAGGGTCCTGATCAGGTCAATAACTGACGCTGCGCCACCTGGCTAAACACGGAACACATGATATTCACTCTCAAACAAACACACAGTGCGATCGTCACCGAACGCTGGGTCCCCAAATAGCAGCCTTCATATGATATCCCTGTGTGCCAGGTCGTCTATGAATTTTTTTAAGTCGGTTTATTATTGTTATTTATAAGCGAGTCTTCATACGATCGTCCGCCCATTAGTTAATTATTCCATTTAAACGCTCGGAAGCTACATTAACCTTACATTAAATTAATGACTGCTACTAAAATATTATTAACCAAAAACATTAATTAAGGCTTCATCAAATCACTGAAACAAATATTTTAGGCAATATACATATAGCGAAGAGGTGGTAATTTGGAACCTGCTGATAATTTGGAACCCCTTAATATTACAGGAACAGACAACGAAATCTGTTGAAAACCTATGAACTTACGTCGAACTGATGTCAATAAACGTATTAACGGCACTGGCGCCATTTTTGCATCGAGTTTAGACCTGTTATAAGAAGTTGAAATTTTGGGTCACCTGTAAATGTTTTTTTACTTTTATTTCCTAATACTGTCAAAACTTTTGTTTCTATCTAAAAGTAAATACAGTAGGTGTTACACGAAGTAGGTATATACGCATAAGTTTAGATTGTCAGAGGTAAGTTTTAAGATTTATTTGAACTAGTTTTTGTTATCTTGATTATTTGTAACAAAGTAAGGTTTTAATTTTGGAACCCGATAGGTGCAGGTAATATAGAACCGGGTTCCAAGTTACCCGCATTACTTTATTGACCGGGTCTCCTTACAAACAGCAACTTGTGTAGTCAATCAAGTCTATAGTGCAGAGAGGAAGAAGTCGGGGAAGAGGTCGGGGAAAAGGTCCGGGATTGGACCTCTTCGAATTCTGAATCTTCTGTTTCTTCAGGAGACACTGTAATGTCAGAAAATGATACCGCGCATGACCAGCCCACAAATCAAGATGACGATTCTTGCATTTTTTGCTCTGAAAATTATGTAGATTGTGGAATGTGGACACATTGAATGCTCAGGATGTGACGCGGAGTATTACATTTATGATTTATGTATGTAAATTTAGTTAATACTTGTAATTTGGAACTCGGGTTCCATAATACCAGCACCAGAGCTTTGAACACATTTTTTTAATTTTTTTTCCTATAATGAGTGATTTTATTTTATAAATTAGTTTCTAATATAAAAGTTAATAAGTTTTTAAATATAAAGAGACAGTTTTGTGATGATTAGTCAAATAGTTTTCGAACTAAATCGAAATGTCATCGAACTTTCTACCCGCTGAAACGTTAGGGCGACTACGGCAGCCCAAATTTTTTAAGCGTCAAACGTTAGGGCGACTATGGCAGCCCAACCACTTTGTTAACTTTAAAAGTAATTTTCTCCATAGAATTGTCGTAGTGGTTCAATATCGCTAAAAAAGATGGTTCCTGATTAAATAACGCGTCTTTTGGTGGGTAGAACACAATAAACGGCGACAGCTACCCTCAAAAAAAAAATTGTTTACAAAAACTGTTCGAAGTTATTTCAAGTGGTTGTGGGGTCCGCATTTACAATGTAAGTATTGATTTATTTATAAACGCAGTGTATTAGTATTATACATTGAAATAATCCTCATGAATATTTCTTTCATGATTTCATCAAATTATATGAATCAAAAGTCTAAAGGAATATTATTTCGGGTGATAAAATGAACACTTAAAAATCTACCCTCATTGTGCCGGTTTTCATAATTAAAATTGTCTTATATATTATATATTGTAGTAAAATATTCCTAGTAATTGTAAAAACAGTTCATTATTAACATTTAAAAACACTAAAAACGAAAGGATTGTTACGCAAACACTTATTATTTTACGTTTTTAAAATTGTCTTCCGCAGGTTTATTGTATGGGCTGATGACGTCACACGAACGTCACGAAAAAGTATCAAAATAAGGTGACATACAAACTGTGAACATGAGGGTATTTTCGTATTATCGCGTTTTTTTATTTGGTGTGTGGTACATTCGTTTTATTTATTTTATTATAGGGTATTTTTGTTTTATCTTTTTCTAGGTCTGAAGTCTATGCCAAATACGAACCTTCTTTCACCATGCACTAATGTTTAAAAATAAAATCACATACGTCATTCCAAGCTGTCAAGACGGATTTTTGATTTTTAAGACGTCATCCAACTTTATCTGTTTCATGTATGTGTTGTCCTGTATATGACGTCCTTTTATTTCAAGTAAAACATGCTTAAAGCAGTAACCTCCGATAACTAAATTTATATTTTAAAACTGTCATTCCCCTACGTGTAATGGCTAACAACTTGACATTGGCGGAATTGTGATAACTCACAAAGCAAGCCATTATTAAGAAGAAGAAGAAGAAGACGTCATCCTCCTAATCGTAATAATACTAATATTTACTGCAAGTTATCAAGACGTGAGAATGATATTGCGAAGACATGGACATGTGAGAGTGTAAGATGAACAAGCTTAATTATCTTTTTCATTTTACGTACTAATCGTAACTACGCTTAATATTTCAGTTTATTCAAAGAAATATGTAAGACGTTAAGGCTTTTGGATTTCAAGGAAGAAGCAGGCCACACCGATGGTGAAAGTAACCCCTTCCTGTTTGATGTTTTCAAAAAATACTGGAACAATAATGAAAAATTTGGGAATGCCAGGAGCGCGACATTAATCTTTGCGTTGAGGGCTGTTTTAAGGCATATCACCAGCCGTAAAATAAATAATATTAGCTGAGATATAGCTCACATACTGTTACTGTGCTTTTTTGTATTTTATTACAATATCATAAATCTACAATAAATGCTCATTTCAAATATTAAAAAAATGTGTCATAACTAAATATGTATATTATATACCGAAATTTAATAAAAATATATTTTATAAATAAATATGTGTTATACATGTTAATATATATGTTATTTAGAAATATAAGAATGTCATGTACCTATTTATGAAACAAAATATTTCTAACTAAATAATAAAAAAATAGATGAATAACCCTGTGTTTATGGCCTTATGGGCGGCCATCTTGCCGTCGCATTGAAAAACAATCGAGTGTCGGATTTCAAGTGGAATAGGGTCTATGTTTATGTTTATTGTATAAAGTTTACACAATGAATGTTTACACTTTTGGTATCAAATTAAAGCTTATATTGTCTAGTTTAGTAAAGAATAAATATCAAATGAGATTTGATACAATTTTATTTGTAAAAACTGTTTTTCTTGTTTAAAAAAAAATATTTACGTGAAATTTAACCAATATTCTCAACTTTCATATTTAATTCTTTGTTTTGGATTAATAGTTGTACTTTAATTTACACATATTTTGATTCCTTATAGTTTCAGCTTTATATACGTATTTTTTATTTCGCTTAAGCTGCCGTTATTTGCTAGAAAATATACTTTTAATCAGCCATGACGTAGGCGCTTGACGCAATTAATCACCGATCGGTGGACGTCTATTCAGCTGTCAATAAGGGTTACATGGCAGCATTATATGCATTGAAAAGTTTCTATTTAACGTAAACGTAGTGATTACATTCTCTTTGGCCTAGAGATGGGTCGTATCGCTTTTTCTGAGTACCGTATCTGAATCGGATTTCGATTTCAAATATCAGATTTCGAAACTATGTATTTTAATATCTAGATATTTTACGGTCACGTATCCACATTGAATTCTAAAAAAAAAAATGTTTTCAACGATATTTTATAC